TAGCAGCTTCCCCTACATATGCCTTCAAAATGATTTATCTTACCACTGTCATAGAGACAAGGATTCTGCAATAATAATAATAATAATAATAATAATAATAATAATAATAATAATATAATAGCACTGTCCAAAAGACTGTACCGTGCCCCATCAGCAAATCAGGCATGGAGGCTCAGTGACTAAATCTCAGCACTGGGAGGCTGAGGCCATGTGTGCAAGGCCAGCCTGGGCTACCATAATGTACTGTAGAGAAAGAGGGAGGGGGAGAGGGGGAGAAGAATGGAGAAAAAGAAAATATGAATGTTTTGTGTGTTGAATTCACCAGTCTGTTCTCCAGTCTGGAGCTCAGTACTGCTTTCTCTCTGGGGAAGATGGTCTTTAAGGTGAACCTTTTAAGGTGTTAGAGCCGTGGTTCTCAGTCTTCCTGATGCTGCAATCCTTTAATACAGTTCCTCACGTTGTGGTGACCCCAGCCATAAAATTACTTTTGTTGCTACTTGATAACTGTAATTTTGCTACTGTTACGAATTTTAATGTTAACGTTTGTGTTTGCCAGTATTCTCAGATGACCCACAGGTTGAGAACTGCTGGGTTAGAGGATTTTTTTTCCCATCAAGTGCACTGATGCACCTTCCTTTAGTTCCATGGTGTTGAGTCAGTAACACCCCCAAGATGCGAAAGGTGAAACCGGTCAGTGATGACAGTGGCCAGGCTTGTGCCTGGCACCTGGTGAGGACTGTATGTAAATCTCCTTCTCAGCTGATTGGTTTAATCCTCGAAATAATACCGGAAGACCTCATTCCTGCTCCACTCTATAGACAGGGACACCAGAGCCCAAAGAGGTAAGAACCACCCAGCTCTGTAAAATAGTAAAGACAGCCAGGTGTGGTGGCGCACGCCTCTAAGGCAGAGGCCAGCCTGGTTTACAAAGCCAGTCCAGAGAAACCAAGGCTACACAGAGAAACCCTGTCTCAAAAACAACAACAGCAACAAAAAATTGGAGTCTGCCTCTTGCTCTGTGAGTTCTCTTGCCTGGGATGTGAACAGAAGAATGTCCAGGGCCCTCTGCTGCTCCTCAGATCCTCTCTAATGCCCAGCAGCAGGCCCGCACCATTGACTCCATACACAGCTGAATTTGTTCTCCGCTGGAGTCTAGTTCGTTGTTGCTGTGGCAGACCCTTCCATACAGCTACAACCCTTAGGGCAGGCGCTCTGGATGTCATACGTCTTTTCCTTCATACTGATTGCTTTTTTATCAAATGAATAAGAAAAGGAAGTGTTGTCAACGTTAGTATTCCTTTTCAATAGGTTTTTGACGTATACGTGTACGTGCGCGCGCGCGCGCGCGCGTGTGTGTGTGTGTGTGTGTGTGTGTGTGTGTGTGTGTGTGTACATGTAGAAGTCGGAGAACAAGTTTTGAGAGTTGGTTCTTCACTTTCATCAAGCAGATTCCTGGAATCTAACTAAAGTCTTCAGGCTTGACAGCATCTTTATACTTGCTGAACCATGTCACTGGCTCCAACAATAATATCCCTGATTACCAAGTTTTGCACTGTAAGTGATATGTATTAGAAAATTTTGTAGAGAAAATATTCCCCAAAGGTCAATAAGTTTGACTTATTACCTCCCTTAAGACAATCCAAGAATACACTGACTGAGTCTCCTAAGTGAAAGTTAATTTTTAGGACTCAGTTTTTATAGCTCAAGTGAATTTATCAACTATTTGTGCCTGTATTTACTTTATTGACCCTAGCAATCAGTGGTGAGAAAGTTCAAGTTCTGATCTCATGGGCTCATTTCCTAGAAGTAAGGATGGTAAATTAATAAGCCAGAAAATGCTTTTACGTAGTGGTAAGAAACAGATTAGCAGAGGGATATGACACAGGGTAAAACAGGTCATAGTGGCTTTGAGGGCAAAAAGACATCATTAGAGCCACCCAGAGTTGACTGACTGGTAGGCAGGAGGACCTGTCAGTGATGGACTCTAGGTTAGAAATGATCTGTTCATCAGATGGCAAAGGCTTGGAGTATGAGGCATTGTCAAAAAGACTATTTACACTGAGGTGCAAAGCCTGGCCACATAGCTGACAGGTTATTGGAAGGACTTTTCATTTCATTGTAGTAAGAATAAAGCAAAGTTTGTTGGCTCAGAAGGTAAACTGAAAACAGAAGTAGCTGGAGTTCAATCCCTAGGACCCCTATGAAAACAGTGTCTTCCAGACCCAACAGGACCAACACACCTAAGAACTTACAGGGTGACAGCATGCAAAAGATCTGCACAAGTTCAAGCCAGAAGAAATAGTCCCAACATGGAAAGGGGACTTAGAAGCAGAGTCCCATCCTTAACCAAGTAGTTATTTGCAATTGATACCTACGGGGAAAGGGAAAATCCATTTTCTCCAATGGAATAATACTGGTTACAACAACCATGCTCTAGGGCAATCCCCATACCCAGGAGTAGTTGGCCAATAGAGATTCATTATTTTTTTGTGTATTATTTTGGTTTGGTTTAGTTTAATTTGGTATTTTTTTGTTTGGGAATTTTGTTTCTTTGGTTGGTTGGTTTAGTTTTAGGAGTTTGTTTCTTAAGAGAGATAGAACTTAGCATGGGATTAAAGGCATGGTGGCACACGCCTTTAATCCTAGCCAGGATTCAGGAGGCAGAAGCAGGCTATGAGTTCAAAGCCAACCTGGTCTATAAAGTGAGCCCAGGATAGTCACTACACAGAGAAACCCTGTCTCCGAAAACAGAGAGAGAGAAAGAAAGAGAGGAAGTGTGGTGGGTTAGGGAGGTACAATAAGTGGGAAGCATTACGGTATATATGTCTACGGTTCTAGCAGTGGCAAAGCAGACAGGAAGATTCCCGGGTTTTGTTTTGGTTTTTAACTTTTATTAATTACACTTTATTCTCTTTGTATCCCCCCATAAACCCTCCCCTCCTAATTCTACCTTCCCTCCCCCTTCTTCACGTATGCCCTTCCCCAAGTCCACTGATAGGGGAGGTCCCTCTCTCCTTCCTTCTGATCTTAGTCTATAAGATCTTATCAGGAGCAGCTGCATTGTCTTCTTCTGTGGCCTGGTAAGGCTGCTCCCCCCTCGGGGAGGTGATCAAAGAGCAGGCCAATCAGTTTATGTCAGAGGCAGTCCCTCTTCCCATTACTATGGAACCCAATTGGACACCGAACTGCCGTGGGCCACATCTGTGCAGGGGTTCTAGGTTATCTCCATGCCTGGTACTTAGTTGGAGTATGAATCTCTGGAAAGACCAATGTGTTCAAATTTTCTGGTTCTGTTGTTCTCCTTGTGGAGTTCCTGTCCTCTCCAGATCTTACTATTTCCCACTTCTTTCATAAGATTCCATGCACTAATGAAATTTTCAGGTAAATGGTGGGAACCGGAAAGGATCATCCTGAGTGAGCTGTCCCAGAAGCAGAAAGACACACATGGTATATACTCACTCATATAGACATATAATATAGGATAAACCTACTAAAATCTGAACATCTAAAGAAACTAATCAAGAGGGGGGACTCTGACTAAAATGTTCAATTCCCATCCCAAAAGGCAAAGAGGATGGACATCAGAAAAAGAAGAAAACAGGAAACAAGTTAGGAACCTGCCACAGAGGACCTCTGAAAGGTCTGCCCTGCAGATTATCAAAGCGGGTGCTGAGACTTATGATCCCCGGGGTTTTTGATCAGCCACACTAGCCTAATCATGTGTCAGGCCAGTGAAAGAGGAAAAGAGAACAGTGCCCAAGGTTGTCTTTGGCCAGCACACAGCAACACACACAGTAAGTACAGCACCACAGTAAAAAGCCAGGAAATAAGAGACTAGGAAGCCATCAGGAAGGAAGGATATAAACTGAGAGTATTTCAAATGTATACACATATTTTCTCTCTTCATTCTCTCAACATAATACATCATTGTATTATGGTTTGCCTCTCTTCCTATAAAAGCAAATATTTTGGATTGCACTTAAGGTTGAGTATTTCAGGTTTGACTACATATAACATTTTTTAAATAGTGGTTCAGATTTTCCCACCTTCCTGCTTTATTCACCAACCAGTTTTGCACAATAAGACGAATCCCAATTTTTTATGGAATGCACATACATCCTGTGCTATTGGCTGCTCCTCTGTTGTTGTGGTAAACAGAGTGACCAAAAGCAACTTGGAAGGGAAAGGTTTGTCATGGAAGGAATCCAGGGTAGGAACCCAGGGCAGGAACCTGGGGCAGGAACTGAAACAGAGACCAGGGAGGAAGCTGCCAAACTTGCTTTCTTACATAACCTAAGACCACCTGCCCAGGGATGGCATTTCCCACAGTGGGCTGGGTCCTCTCACAGCAATCATTAATCAAAGAAATATCAGGCAGACATGCCCAAAAGTTGATCTGATGATGGGGGCAACTCCTCAGTTGGGTTTTTCTCTTTCCAGTTGAATCCTGGTTTGTGTCATAAGGACCACACCCCAGTTTCACTCACAGCTTCATGAAATAAGCCCAGGGAGGGTGGAAACTCCCTTGATGCTTTCCATGGGAGATGTTACCAATTCTTTTAGGCTGACGACTTGATGTTTTAAAGGGAGTAATGAAGTTACATTTCAAAGCTAGGCCTCGAATTCTGCGTTTAGGCTTCTTGAGTCAGGAGGATAATGAGACGTCACTGACCGCCAGTTTTCCAAAGTCGGTGGACTCCGGGAGATTGAGGGCACACCCTACAGTTAGAAATTGCACTTGGCTATAATTTTGTCATTTGCTCTTGACTACCAGAACCTCATGAAGATGGTGACATCTAGTGGCCCTTGAATAGACGAGCTTCTGTGGGCCTCACAGATATTTAATTAGTCACACCTGTTAAGGGGCCTGCTCTTTTTTTTTTTTTTTAACCTTTGCCATGTGCTAAAATTATGGCCTCCATATTCCTGATGAGTGTGTCAGAAACACGGAATAGTTACAAATATTGCTTTTCGGCTAACTTATTTTCTTCTTCCCGTAGACAGAAGACCCAACCATGGAGAGACCCTACACATTTAAGGATTTTCTCTTGCGACCTAGAAGGTGAGGCTTGCGGGTGGGTGTCGGGTTGGGGTGTGTCTGCAGTGCTGGTTTCTCTGAGGACAGGCTGAGCAAACAGCTTAAACAGGAAGGCTGGAAACAAGCCATATCCCTCAAAACTGGTTTTCTTCCTGTCCGCAGTCACAAATCTCGAGTCAAGGGGTTCTTGCGGTTGAAAATGGCCTACATGCCGAAAAATGGAGGTCAGGACGATGAAAACGGCGATCAGAGGGACGACATGGAGGTACGAGGAGAGAAATCAGCAGGCCCGGCCTCTTTCCGGCTTGCCCCTCACTTGCCTTACACTTTGAGACTCGGTCATTGAAGGAAGTGGATGTCTGTAAACATAAATACAAATTCACCCCTGAGTTTGTCTGTGAAAGTCCTCTACTGTGTGATTGTTTTAGCAGAAGTGAAATTCCCATTTTGTGTCATAACACTAATAATAGGAGAGGCAGCTCCTTAGTGTTAGCTCCGTGTCTAGCTACTGTTGCAGAATGCCCTACCGAGGCCGCGTAAGGAGGAGGAAAAGCTCCCATTTCAGACCATGAAGTTCATCGAGGTGGGGCGGTCGTGGAAGCAGGAGCGTGAAGCAGCTGGTGAGGCTGTGTCCCAGTCGGGAGGCACAAAGTGGACAGGAAGCGGGGTACAGCTGTAAATCCACAAGCCTGCCCCCTGAGACCCACTTCCTCTAGCAAATCTCTACCTTCTAAAAGTTCCACAACCTTATCCGGCACCAGCAGCGTGCTCAAATGCAGGAGCCTAAGGAGAGTGTTTCAGAGCAACGTAAGGACAGCCCCACTGCCGGAAACCCCACCCCCACTGCTGCTTTGGACTTCTCGATTCTTTTCGGGTTCCTTTTAGCACTTGCAGCTGCTATAGAGTAGATGGGGTGACTTAGAAACTCTTCCCATCTCTGATTCGCTTAGTCCACAGGTAACAGCATGCATTGCAGAGCCCTCCTTGGGAAATGCCATGTTGCAATTAGCCATTCAGAAGAGTGTTCCTCTCTGTCCTCTACCTGACACAGTGAACTCCTCACTTGCTGGTCACATGTCTGTACTTTGGGTGCTGTACCATGTCAGCATGTGCCGTGGACAGTGCTGTCCTGTTAGCCCAGTTCTCATCTTGCTCTGAAAGCCCCCATTGAATAGTGCCTCCCTGTGTGTTTTCACATCTGTTTGCAGCTGTCCCCACATCTGTGCTACTTGAATAATGCATGGCAGACAAGTTGAACAAACCCCCTTCAACCAAGAGGCCACATTTCCCAGCAGTGTTTTCACTCTAGGTTTCCACAGCTCTAGGCACGTGACAGGGGCTGAAGTGGGTGGCAGGCCATGTTGGAGGTTGAGACTTCCCAAGCGAATCAACCGATTGCTGTGGGAATTCCAAGGAATTTTTTTACACTCTTCTTGTCTTCCAAGTGCAGTAACCAGTGAATCTGTTGATTTTCTGCTGGCTTTACCAGGGGATGTTAGGAAAGCAATACTTAATGCCTAAGGTATGTGTCGGAATAGTGTAACTCTGATTCTGGCACCATGCAGTCTGTTTGTGCAGAGCCTGAGTAACAGCAGCAGTTTCTAGACAACGCCTGGCTCACAACTGTGACACCCCGGGGGTGAGGCTTTATCCCCTCTCACACCAGCCCTAGGCCATCCTCCTTGGAGACCAATAGCCCCGTCCCTATGCCTGCAACCTGTAGCATGCTTTCTTTTCAAATGCACACGCCTACTTCATGGGGGTGCTGAAAGAACGACAGCTGTGACAGCTGTGGCGTGTGCTTGGTGCAGCCCTAGAGGCCACTGAGTCAGAAAAACTAACGAAGTATACAGATTCATGACGTGACTTAAGAAACTGAACAGGGCCGGCAAGATGGCGCAGCAGGCTAGTGCACCTTCTGTCCAAACTGATCAGATCCATCAAACCCACATGGTAGAAGGAGACTTGAACCATGCAAGGTGTCCTCCGACCTCTACACATGTGCCACGTATGCACACATGAGCTTGCGTCTGAACACATGTACTCAAATAAACAGATGTTCTCAAAATGAAAAGAAAGTAAATGGAGTATCCAGATGGGGGAGCTTCCTGCTTAACTGGCCATTGCTCAAATGAGTTTTGAGACCCTGAATTGGTTTTTGTCTCCCTTTGAGAGGGACCCTACCTCAGTGTGACACAGGAAACCATTACAAGACACAGAGTGAGGCAGAGGATGTCACGCTGGGGTTGTCTTTTCCCAAGATCTGGAGCCCAGACTCATGACCTCCCACTGACTTTCCTCCACAGCACGGGTGGGAAGTTGTCGACTCAAACGACTCAGCTTCCCAGCACCAGGAGGAGCTCCCTCCCCCTCCCCTGCCACCGGGGTGGGAAGAGAAAGTGGACAATTTGGGCCGCACTTACTATGTCAACCACAACAACAGGAGCACGCAGTGGCACCGGCCCAGTTTGATGTGAGTACCGCCAGGTGGCAGGGAGGCTGTGTCTCAGCCTGCACAGCAACGGGTGGCAACTCCGGGACAAAGTTTGGGAGCGTGTGTGCACATCCGTGCGTGAGTGTGAGCAGGGGGAACGTGCCTGCGTGTATGCGAAAGGAGAGACTGCTGCCCTGTGCCATATTTATTGCCTTTTGCAGTGAGACTGGAGTTGTGCCGTGCCTCTTCCAGGGTTAGCAAAATGTGCTTTTCCTAGACTCCTCTTTGGTTCGCCAATCATCTCGCTGTCCTCTTCCTCAGCTTCCTCTCCTGAAGGTCCCAGGATGGAAACCAGAGACAGATTGGCTTGACTTTCGTGCTTTGCATTTTTATTCTTTCACATCATTTGATAAAGTCACAGAAGCTTCGTTTATTTTTATTTTATTTACTTTTCAGAAAATTTAAGTATCACTGCCTTGGTAAATTTAGAAATGCATAGGAGATTTGCAAAAGTCAACATTAGTAATTACTGTTTATTTCAACACCCTACTAGCTTTGAGAGAGCAAGGCGGTTGATGCCTGTTCCCTTAGTAATTTTTGTTCTGATGATAGCAAATAAATAAATCCTGGTTAAACTTCAATTGCTGTTTTTAAGAAAGATTTTGAAGTAGCTTTTTGTTAAAGCACGGTGAGCAGCAAAACTTTACTGATGTGGCAGCGTTCCCGAGATGAGAGGAGAGGGAGCCTTGGGCATTGGGAGCCTCGGAGCAGCAGCTGGGATAGTTCACCTTTACTGATCAGCACCATGCATGTGGAAGTCTTTATTTGAAGGGGAAATGGGTCCAGTGGCTAATGAGGCGAGTCCTGAGACAGCACTTGCCATGTATCTAAAGTACGTCATCAGTGAGACTTGGTGATGGTTTCACAGGTGTATACTTAACCCAGATCTATCAAGATGTCAGTTACATAAGTATGGCTTCTTTCGTGTAAAGCAGATCTCAAGGGCAAGAAAACAGTTTGATCAGCAGAACTCACTTTCCACAGTATCCCCTTGATGCCCTCTGTAGTTTATGGATTTCAATTATCTCTCCTTAGCATTACTTGACTTGGCCAAAAGCCCAAGAGTTACCTCCAAAAGAGTTATCTTTTGCTTTTAGGTTAAAAATTTTTTTTTCATAATTCAGGGTATTTTTTTCTAGAATGTTGCAGCACCCTTCAGAGAAAAATTAAATTGTGGAAAGATATGTTAGTTAAGAGTACACTGTATCTGAGGATGTTGTAGTGTCAATCAGCAGTGATTAATCAGGTTCTAGGTCAGCGGTTCTCAGCCTTCCTAATAAATAGTTCAACCTTTTCATACAGCTCCTCATGTTGCAGTGACCCCCAAATCATAAAATTATTTTCGTTGCTACTTCATAACTAATTTTATGCTTTTATGAATCATAACATAAATATCTGATACCTATATGTGACCCCTGTGAAAGGGTCATTTGATACCCAAAGGGGTTTGAGAACTACAGTTCTAGGTAAACAAAGAATTCCCTCCCTCAGTGGGCAGACATGAAGACAAACAGGCTTGCAATCCCAACACTGAGGTGAGGCAGGAGCGTTTGGGTTATGTAACTACCTACTTCAGTGGCTCAGATTCTTGCCCAGCTTTCTGTAGACTTATGTCCCAAAGCTGAACCTTCTGAACATTTTGTCCCTGCTCTCCCTTGCACTTAGGATGTCCTGTGGGAGTTCTGCATCCCTGTCTCTTGACAGACATCCCACAGTTAGTTAAACATGCAGTGCCTCTAGGAGTCTCATCACAGCTGCTTTCTGCTTACTTTCTCTTGTTGCCAGCTCCTATGGCTCATGTACCTTCCCAAAACAGCAAATACGAAGCCCTTCCCACAGGTGAAAGTATGGTGCCAGGCCCTTCTCGCCTACCATCTCCTTGTAGCCTGTGCTTTCTCTGTCACAGCACGAGGCATAACCACCCACCCTCCTGTTTGCCTGAAACTGTGTTTTCTATGTGTTGGGTTGGGTGGGTGGGGGGTATTTGTTTGTTTCTGACAGGTTCTCACTCTGTAGCCCAGGCTGACCTCACACTTTAATTCAGCCTCTCCAGGGCTAGGATTTCAGATCTGATCAGCCTTGGGTAGGACAAATAGGAAAATACTGGGATATCGTGATCTCTTACTCACTGATCTTTATGCCTGGCACCAGATTTAGGAGCTCCGAAAAATACAGTTTTAAATGAATGATTGGCCAAAAGGAGCCACTTCGGGAAGTGATCTGAGGCACATGATTTGGTGTACTGTCTGGGCCATTACTACAGAAGGTGTCCAGTGGGGTCACCGCACCTTCTCAGTTCTCAGTGGCCTTTTAAACACCTCATTTTACATCTGTTCTTAGTGCTAGTTAGATGCAAACTATATTTTACTATAAAAATTACAATTTTTTTAAAAATGAAGAAATACCATTCTTTAAGATAAAACCTTGTAAGCGGAAATGCTCGTATTAAGCTTTTGATTATAAAATACTCATCACCTCAGAAACCTCCCAGTTTCCTAGTCGTATCTCTGTGGTTTGGGTCATCATTACATCATATGTGTTAAGGCAAAGGGGAGGCCAAGATGGCTCAGAGAATAAAGGCCTTTTCCTCACAGGCCTGACGACCTGAGTGCGTTCGGATCGAACATGCTTGTAAGTGTCTCTGAAGAACGTTTAGACTTACACTTCAGAAACAGCCAGCTGCTTGCTTCCCCGCAAAGGGCCATCACTATCACACATGCAAAATGTTTTTAAGATGCAGTCGATTGAGTTGTTTTGAAGGATGAGTTCTTAACTCGGGTCGTAACTTAAAAACCTCATGTGACAAAACAAATAAGCAGGGTGTGGCCGCACCATGGTCTTCAAGTCCAGGCTCATTTGGGAGGTCAGCTCCTGCTGTTCATGTGGATTCTTAGAGGTGGGTTGTTGGGGAAGGGGGCTGCAATATGAGGTCATTTGTCAGAATGAAACAGAGAGCCGCAGAAAGTAAGTCACGCAGCTCAGGAGGCCTCCCCTTGGGATGTCAGCCTTGAGTGTGTGCTGTTGGTAGCCCTCACTCAGCTGCTGGTGACCCAGCTTAGCTGCTTTGTCACTGCTGGCTAGACCCAGGAGGGACCTGCTGACAGACTGCATGTGTGAGCTTGATTGTCGCTTCCTTCCAGAGGACTGGTTTGTCACAGACTGAGTTTGTCACTGAGGGACGTGGATTTCTCTTCTCTCTTAAATACTGAAGCGCAGCTTGAGGGATGGACGTCTCTCCCTCCTCACCGCATCCACACACCTGTGGGTTGAGCCGACCCAGACCAAAACTGTTGAGGAAAATGTTAGGCCTGTGCTGAGCCTGAGCAGTGGTTTGTCCTCATCTTCCTTCCTAGGCAGTGCAGTAAAGTTGTTTGTACACTGTTCTCACTGTGTGAGGCATTGTACATCACCTAACGGGGATTTAAACCATGCAGGAAGTTGTGTGTGTGTCCTATACAAACAAACAACACCATTCTGCATTAGGGACTGAGCGTGTAGGATTTCGAAATGAATCTGTGGGGATAGAGAGGGCTGTGCAGCCCATCCCCCGGGGTGCAGTGGGATGGCTGTGTAAAGGTGTGTCTGAAAGATGCTCTAACCCTTGTACAACTCCAGTTCAAAAATCACTGAAGCTGCTTTTGTGGGCTTAGGGTGAGACTGAAGTGTGGCGGAGCCCAGAAAGCGATGGAAGAGTTCCCGTATTTGGTAGCTCTGTGTCCTTGTTTGACGATGAGGTGTTAGAGTGTTGCCCACAGTGAGGCTTAGACTGTTGGAGGACTACTTCTGAACACCCCTTCCACCCCTTCTCTTCTCATACCCCTCCACCCACCCACCTTTCAGGGACGTGTCCTCCGAGTCAGACAATAACATCCGGCAGATCAACCAGGAGGCTGCACACCGGCGCTTCCGCTCCCGCAGGCACATCAGTGAAGATTTGGAGCCCGAGGCCTCCGAAGGCGGTGGAGAGGGCCCTGAGGTATGATGGCCAGAGATGTTGTTGAGCTGAAGTAGCTCCGTCTTCCCAGGATGCCCTGGGGTGATTCTGTATCCTGTTTTTTCCTCCCAGTGAATGGGTATTGAATGTGAAGATGGTGGCCTCATAACTAATTGATTCACATCTGAGTATTAATTAACCTAGAAAATTGCTTGGGAACCCATGTTTTGTCATGTCCAGCGACTTGTAGAACTATAACCCGAGGAACATTATTTCTGCTTTGAAAATCTTACGTGTTTTCGCTGAGTGATTGGTTTTCCCCAGGATATAACCACTCTCATGAAGCAACACTAACGTTGTCTTTTTTGAGGAATTCAGTGCACTCTGTCACTTTTTGAGAGTCGTGGGCAGGTTTCTAATGAACTGCGTGACATCTTAGGAGGGGTTACCAACCAAAAAGTGTACAAGTCTGAGTTAATAGGAATATTCATAACTATCTTTTATAAATACCTAACCGTGCATACTGAGAAAGGAGATGAATTAAGCAACGAAGCAGAGGTAACCTCAACTTGATGACTCTGACCTTCAGTTTGACTTGTGTTAGGAAGGCCATTCACAAAATGTTGCAGTGACCGGTATTAGAACAGCCAAGTTAGTGGTTCCAGAGTAGACTCACTGAGTGTTCTTCAAGAGCAGCTACATGAAAATTCCTTGTAAATTCTTGAGGTGTTTCTACTCCATTTGTAACAGAGGCTGGCAAAAAGCCGCCCCAGGCAGAGTGTGTATCCACAGGAGTAAAATTGTGGCCACCGGGCCCGCCTCCTTCTTCATGCTGTGGCCACACCGGCCTCCTTCTTCACACTGTGGCCATGCCCCTCAGTTGACTGCTTGTGTCAACAAGTTGCTCTCAGTGAAGTTTCCCAGTCTGTTAGTTGGGACCGTGCCTATCCTCAGGATTCTGTACCTCAGGCTAAGTAGGTGCTAGTTACAGTTACCCTGGTGGTTGTGGAAGTTGTGTGTTTTATTGCGGGGAAGACAGGTAAAATCCCCAGTTCCTAGTACTCACCCTAGTGTCTGATTCCTCCAAAGCCTTGGGAGACCATTTCCGAGGAAGTGAACATGGCAGGGGACTCTCTCAGCCTGGCCCTGCCCCCACCTCCTGCCTCCCCAGTGTCTCGGACCAGCCCCCAGGAGCTGTCTGAAGAACTGAGCAGAAGGTTGCAGATCACTCCAGACTCCAATGGGGAACAGTTCAGCTCTCTGATTGTAAGTCACGGTCCTATTAAACAAGCTGAGTAGTGGTCAGTCCTTCCTTGTTGCCTCAGGAGACTCTTGGTGCAGATAATAGCTAAGGGCTGTGGTTCTCAATTTGCAGGTTGCCCTCCACTTGGGGGTGAAGCCACCCTTTCACAGGGGTCACATACCAGAAATCCCGCATCTCAGATATTTACATTAGGATTTAGAATAGCAGCAAAATAGTCCAGTTATGAAGTAGCGGTGAAATAATTTTTATGTTTGGGGGTCACCACAATCTGAGGGACTTTATAAAAGGTCTCTAACAATAGGAAGATTGAAAGCCACTGGCCAAGGGTCTTCTCCTCCCAGTCAGCCCAGGTTCCCCAGAGTAACTCTTCCGTAGGGGAGGCAGGCCTGTATGAAGGTTAGCCCTGGCAGGTAAACATTTTTTTTTTGTTTTAGAAAGAAGTGGCATATCACCAGCTCTTTCTTGTCTGTAAAAATTTCAAAGGATTAAGATTCTATGATTTTTTTTTTTAATTCCTAGCTTTAAACTTGTAGGATTTCTTTCCCATCCAAAAGGCTCATGAGAATAGTATGTTCCTCATAAAGGTGGTTTTCCTGTTGAGAATCGGGAGCCGTAGAGCCTTCCAACCAATCTTCTAAACTCACACCCTACTCACCTTTCCATTACATAAGTGATTGTCCCTGGCAAAGCTTGATGATGAGGTAGAGGATACCCAGACACCCAGTATGTGAGCTCTGAAGAGAAAAAGTATGAAACCATGGCTCTGACATCAAGACTCTTAACCTGGGTTCTCGAGAAATGCTTTCCAGAAGTGTCAGATAAGTGAGAAGGAATGAAGTCAGACACAAGGAGCTTGGCATTTGACATTGCAAAACTACAGGGGAAACCCACAGAACATTCTCGTATGTGTACAGAATTAGGACCAAGTGCACACACCGTGTTCTCAGGCCATCCAGTACATCTCAAAGATGTACTAGAGTAAGTGAGGGTTGTCACTGTGTTGGAAATGGCGCTCTCATATGATAATCGTTATTATGGGCATGCCGAGTGTAAATGATAGGAGGGCTACATAGAATATTAAAAAGCCACTAAGTACAAAATTATTAGTCCTTCGATGGTGGCGTTCTTCTTTTAAAAGAAACTATTGGCCCCTGTTGCATGGGTTACAGTGATTACTTCATAATGTACTTTCACATTAAAATTCTATGAATGTTTTTCAAAAAGAGAAATACCACTGAGATGAAAATTTAGTACTAAGTGGATAGAAAAGAGGTTGCCTATATGAGGTATTTGAATTGGTAAAACTGTTGCTATGGAAACAGCATAAGCCACAAAACCATGTATTTAAAATGTATCAACGAAAGACTTGCAGGAATTACAGCAGCTGTATACCATTTCTATAAACCATGCGAGAAAAAATTCCTAGTTTTCTTTGTTGATATAAATTAGCATTTGTCACGATTAGAGTAGGGAGCTCTTGTATTTAGTACTTCCAGAAGCGTGGCATTTCCTTAAGACCCAAGTGTGATAGCAAATCCTTAGGGTACACCTTCCCCCGCCCAATGTTGATGCTCAAGGCCATTCTGTATTCAAGGGCAACAGGTGAATTTTTTATTCATAAATGACTCCTTCACACTGCCCAGAGCTTTGCCTGACCTTGTTAGAAGTCACGCGTGCCACAAGCTGTACCCTGGATAAGCATGCTAGCAAGGAACCTTCTGCCTGTGGCCTTCTAGGATCTTTGCTCAGATCTATGAGGGAGGCTTTCTCGAACCTCATAGAATTCAGGCAAGTTAGAGGAACATCACGTGCGGCACACAGCGGTGACTTTGGGTTTGCCCCACTCCCCTGCTCCTCATGGAGTTTCACTGGGAAGCTAAATACAAACCCCTAACCCCTCACAGGGAGGAGGGGTGCTATTCTCCCACTGTGTACAGATGGTCATGCAGTTCAGCTAGCTCTGGGTGACCAGTGCTAGTAGCTGGTAAAGAGCCAAGTGTCACCTTTTCTTCCTCACACTTGAGAATTTGCCCAGAGCTCGCATCCCAGGGAGTGTACAAGATCGCTGCCCTCTTGTTACTCTTCAGTGTTGTGGCGGCCTGTCTCTTTTCCCTTTCAATAGTCTTGGCCTCCTTGTTGTTGTTATTATTATTATCATTATTATTATTATTATTACTAATCCTGGTCTGCTGGAAAACGTTGAGAATTGAAGCAGAGCTCTGTAAGGAGTGCTGCCATTGCTCTGAGAAAGGTAGTGTTTGATACCTCCTGACATCACAGAGCAGTGCACGCAGAATAGTCTTTCTCACAGCGCTCATCTTTCCCTCCCCTGCAGCAGAGAGAGCCCTCGTCCAGACTCCGGTCCTGCAGTGTCACCGACACCGTTGCTGAGCAGGCTCATCTACCACCGGTAACAAACACTCAGTTCCAGTCCTCAGCCAGTTTTTGTTTTGTTTTTTTATTATTTTTGGTTTTTGGCTTTGATTTAAAATCTTCAGGGCTGCTGAAAGAGTTTTTCCTGTGTACACCCATTCACCACATAAGCAGGACATGTGAAATTTTCCGAGTGAATCTTGACTTTCCAACTCAGAATCCTAACTGCCAGCCGAGCTCCCAAAATGCTAAAAACTTGCATAAAAACGCATACTCAAGGGTATGCATTTCTGACGAGTCTATATGACTGAAACTATGTGGCTTATTCAGAAGCTGTGGTCCAGGTAGCTTAACCTGTAAATTGATCAGGAAGAACTCTTCCAGTGAGACAGGTTTTTTGTTTTGTTTTGTTTTGTTTTTTTGTTTTTCTCCTCTACCTGTGGCCAAAACTCGCAGCTCCACAGAGCAACTGTGCTAACTGAAAAGGCAGCTCCGAGAATGAAGAATCAGCTGCCATTTGCTCCCTCTGTCCTACAGCTGTGATAAGTCTGAGCGCACATGGGCTTGGCAGAAGGGTTTTTGGTATTCAATATATGCTAAAGTGATTATCAAATTGGAGGGCACATGAGCTTTGCCTCGCAAGAAATAATTTACTTAAATTTGTTTCTTCTTTGGGAGGTGAAAATATTCTGTGGTTTTAAGTGTTGCGTTTGACTTTGGCCTTTTATTTGTTTGATTTTTGTGGGGTTATAGCCCAGGCCAACTTGGAACTCTGATTATATGCTCCAGGCTAGCCTCAACCTTAGAACAGTCTCCTACTTCTCCCTCTTGAGTGCTGAGGTTGCAGGCATGAGCCACCAAACCCATGACTTTTAATTGCTGCAAATCCTCTTTTATGACTTCATTCATTGTGGATAAACTTGAAGACAGGCAACAGGTTTTAAATTTTTTTTTTTAAACCGTCCCTCTTGTATACTTTTTACCTGACTTCAAAGGACGTTTTTGCTTAGGTTTTGCTATTTTTTAGTTACAACACGAAGTGATATATACCAGCCAAAATAATAAATTCGGTTGGAGAGTCCACCGTATAGGCTGGCTTCGTAATAAGCTGAGATGGATTCAGCACAGACCTCCCAAAGCAGAACAGTAGACTATGATGAACTGGTGGGGACCCTTCTCAACCTAATGATTTTGTAGAAATTGCTCTCCTTCTCCTCTTCAAAATCAGTGTCAGTTTTATTTGCCACAGAGCTTCTTTGCCTGGAAACTGACTCTCCCTTTGTTCTTATGATGCTGTGCAGTCACTGACCACCAGTGGCCTCTTTGAGGTTTGCAGATGTAAGAATCTGCTCAATTTTGCACTGTGGAGTACAAAACATCGTACTTGAAGTCACTGTTAGTCACCCCTATCAAGGATGCAGCCTGAGCTTCTTTGGGGTGTGACATAATGGTCCAGAGAAGGCCCATGCTGTGCTCTCTCTTGGCTGCTGGTCACTGATGTGTGCTCAGCTTCATTTGGACAAGGCGGGTATTGGGGACACTGATCTCACGTCACCTGCCACAGCATCACCACAGCAGTGATTCCTGATTCGCTAAGCAATGGACGGCCCCCCCAATACATGTTACTGACTGCACATTATCATTTAACAGCCCAGCACCCCAAGTAGGCGAGCACGTTCGTCAACTGTCACGGGTGGTGAGGAATCAACGGTAATGACACAAGTTATCGAAGGCGAATGGTGAAAGTCTGTGGGGGTAGTTTATTATTTGGGTTATGATGAACATGCTCCCTCCCGTGTTCAAATAATGTCAGCTTCAGTGCGATACAGAGACACGTGTGTTTCTTACCTTAAACATCTCATTTTGGGTTCTTCAAAGGTACTGGGTAAAATGGAGCCATTTTTAATCCTGTGTAATTCGCTTAGAAGTGCTATCAAGCCGGGTTAAGTGCTTGATCCAGGCACTTCCAATATAGTGTTGTCAGCGCCTTTGCTCCTGGTGAGTGAGCTTTCTCTTCCTGTTGAACACTTGGTTAAGCTAGAGAAGGCATAGGACTCACTCAGGCCTGTGCATTTGGGTCCAGGTCTGAGAGATGCTCTGTACTCCTCTCTATTTCCCACACATTTTTGTTGAAACAGGGGAACAGATTTTCTGTATCTCCGATGAAAGTATCTACTATTGTTGTTATTATCTTCTTGTTTTGATTAATAGTATTCACGCTTATTTATAACTTATATTTGACTAGTTGCTTTCGGTGTGTTCTACTTGATCCTTGAAGTCTGGCCAGCCCGTATTTGATGTTTCTAGCTTAGATGACTATTTTAAGAACTTTATTGTTTCACCTTTGTTGCACATGCCCTAGTGGCTGCCTATTATTTGTGAATAACTTTAACCTGATTTCCTGAAGGATGTTTAGCACTCAGTATTCCACAAAGGAAACTCAAATTGGCAGTCAGTGAGCACAGCATAAGGTTGCTAAGCCACTCCTGCTTACTGGAGCACCAGGCTCCATCTCCAGCAAAATTCAAAGAAGTGTGCATGAGCTAGTTGACCTCCGACTGTGTGTTGGCAATTTCTCTGAGAGTAGTGGAGCGAGCTACAAAGCAGACCATTCCCGTGGGATGGTTTTGTCTGGTTATCCACATAAGCGTCCTCTTGAGGTCTCATCTGCTGTTACATATACTTGGATTTGCAACCTGCTTACAGCTTCGGAGTGTCACGATGGCAAGTGATGGGAAATGACAGAGCAAACTAAACTGCTACAGTAGCAGACTCCACGTGGCTCTGGGACGGCCCTTTTCATCCCTTTTTCTTGCGTGTGTGTGTGCTCCTCCCTCAGTACTTTCTCAGTACCTACACAAGTTTGGAAGGGCCAAGTCCATTTCCTGCCCATCCTCTCTATTTGCCGTTGTGTCTCCCAACATAGCTTTTCCCTCTGAGCTCCTCTTTGGTGCATATGCCGGGCAGAAATTTCCTATAAAGTGTCACCTCGCTCTTCCCTGTACCCTCGCAAGCACGCGTGTGCTGCAGTTACACACGCGGGAGCCGCCTTGTTTCATTAAGAGGGGAAGCAGCATGGTGTCGTGTACGTCGTACGTCACGCCCAGACAGCTGTTCTGAACTTGGGTTGATCTTTCTCAGCTCTGTTAATAATCAGCAGCCAGTGGGGGGATGCAGCACCACTCGTACACATTTCCCTCACTGACTGGCTTTCCCACACGGTCCACCGTGCTGCGGTAACCATCCCCTCTGGGTAGCAATCCTCCCTGATAAAGCGCTGACCTTTTGATTTATGGCAGAAGCCTGGACACCAGTGTCACTTTCTTACAGGCTGTCCCAGGGCTCTCCCTCTCAGATAGGAAGAGCTCGAGAGCAATGTCCTTTGATCTTCCCTGATGATTTCTAAAAATATCCTGGGATACCACCATGGCAGGGTCTGGGTGAGTCACGGAGTCTGTGATGGTCGGTGTCAAAGGACAGTCAGACTTTCTCAGTTTCAGCATGACCTGGTTCTAGGTAGTGGAACACAGCCCCCATGAAGCTGTAGTGAATGCCCATCTGAAATCATAAGAGTCTGCAGTAGATTTTATTGTGGATGAAAACTGAAACGCTGAGTTCAACTTGTGTTTGGACTGCCTAACTTGTTTCTGGAGATAGTCTGACGCATACTGTCATTCACATACAGTAATAAAACTCTAATCGTTTAGCCCGAGCTTGGGCCTCTTCCACAGAGCTGTCATTGCTGGTCATGTGTTCTGGATGGGCATGTTTCAGTAATAAACGGAGTCATCAGCACAGGCTCTACATGCTCATTTCGAGAGGACGCTGTCAAGAAACATTTTAATAACAGGGACTCACATAGATGCAGCTAAATTACCACTTGCCCATCCCAGTCCCAGCAGAAAAGAGGACGATCATTTTAGACACGTTCAGTATTCTCTCTTGTTCCTATCCTCCTCTGTGTAACTAGTCCTGCTAACTGCAGATTGCAAGCAATTCCTGCAGCTGACAGTTTAGTTCTGAGATCATGACACATCTAACTCATTACATTTGTCAGTGGCTTCGAAAGTATCTGTTCCAGGAAGGTCATCACTGTTTGTTTGTTAAAGTCTTACTGTTTCTAGAACTGAGTTTTCTGAGAACATACGAAACTGCCAATCCTTAAAACATAACTCATCAAGAAAGGAGAAAAGAAACAAGTGCCATTTAATATTCCATGTAAGTTAAAGCCATTTTGGTCATAGAAGCCATAGTAAGTCAACATGTATTGATTATTTGTTTAAGTGACAGTTGATCAGACCAGGCTCCTGGCCAGTGTAGATGAAAACGCTTGAAGGGAGGTAGGGTTTTGTTGGTGGTGTCCTCCATTTAGGCTGAGGACCACTTGGTCTGTCTTTAAGGCTCATAAAAGCCTTGCCTCTCTCAGTTGGTCTTAGTTGGTCTCGCTCCTGGATTCAGGATGCTGCATGGTTAGTTGTTCTTGGACTTCCTTTATCCTTTAGGACTTACCTAGAAAAAGCTCAAGGAACTGGCTGCTGCATTTTTAGCAGGATGGTTCCGCACACATACGTTCTCCTTGCCTGATAAACACAGTTTAGAAATAACCGCTGAGTCAGCTGCTCCCCGGTCACTTTTCAGGTTAATTTTTTTGGACTGTGCTGTTGGGCGTGGGACGCAGATGGAGGGGGCTTCTTCAGTCACAGTCCTTAGTAAATGCAATGTACATGTTCTTTCTTCCCCTAACTCAAGGCCCCAGGGCCACTGAGGTGGACTCTGTGGCTGTGACCGTCATCACCAGACTAGTTAGCAAGCAGGGAAGCTAGGGCAGGACAGAAAGAAGGTGGGGTAAGAGAAAAGTCACATGATCAGCCTAATCCCAAGAAAGCAGCACTGGCTGAGGGACTTGAGGACCCCGCTGGGGAAGGGCTCCTATTGTTAAGCCTTCCAGAAGTCTTGATGGCCCTGGTAGGTACTGTCTTTCTGAGCATCTCCCCTACAGCATTGCTTCTCCAGCACAAACGGATGCAGGCATTCCTAGGCTAGTTCTATCCCTGGGCATATCCCTTTGCTGCCAGTCATTCAGCTGTCCTGTATATTCAAGTACCTGTTCACCCAGACGACGTTTCTCTGGCTGCTTCTTACATAAGCCAGAGTCACAGTAATTCGTTATATTCAGAGATGGAATTCATGCTGGGTATGATGACTCGCGCCTTTGATCCCAGCACTGTGGAGGTAGAGGCAGGCTTTCTATGAGCTCGAGGTTTACATGTGAGTTCTAGGCCAGCCAAGGCTACATCCTGAAACCCTGTGTCAAATAAAAATAAAAATAAAAGATGTAATCTGTGCTATCCAATTATAGTCCAAACAAGACATCACAGACCGTCAGAGGGAAGTAATCAGACCACTGTAAACACAGCGTGTAATATGGGGCTCTGTGGAATCCTTCCCCAGGGACCTCCCGGGCTGGGGAGCATAAACATGATAGGGCTCCTGGACATTATGTCCCCAGACCAGAGTGCAAGTCAGAGGAGAGCCTCTGGGTCGCATCTTGCTCTGAAATTTTGTGTGCCCAGGGCCTCAGGAAGAACTATGTGCTCCCTCCAGTGGCCTGAGCACTGGGCAGCTTGAAGTTCCCTTTTGAGCTGTGTGGTTTAGCGGCCAGACCAGGTTATGCTCCATTCTCTTCATCTACAGACCCTTTGTATTTAACACCTCAGAGTCTAAGAGACGATTCTGTCAAAATGTGGGTCCCTTCTATCTCACGGGAGACTTGAAACTCTCAGAGTCAGTCTGTTTCCCAATACCAGATACTCTTCGTTTGTGGGTTGTGGGTTTTGTTTTGGTTCTGTCTGGGGTTTGTTCTTTTTTTTTTTTTTTTTTTTTTTTTTGTGGGTGTGTTTTCCCCCTGTACAAACAGCATTAACTTGTCTTGCCCAGAGAAATATGATTTCTAGTCTACGTAACTTTATTAAACTGATCAGAGAACAAATTCTAGTTTTTAAATAATAATAATTTCTTGCACAGCCATCAGTGGCCTATGTACATACCACGCCGGGCCTACCTTCAGGCTGGGAAGAAAGAAAAGACGCTAAGGGGCGCACATACTATGTCAATCATAACAATCGAACCACCACTTGGACTCGACCAATAATGCAGGTATGAAGATCACCGAGCATCCCAGGCTGGAGGGCCTTAGCAGCTGAGAGGCAGTCACAGCATCCTGCCCCGGAGTTCATGGCCCGCGTTTAAGGCAGACTCTCCCCAAAGACTTGCGTTACTCTCAGTAGAATATTTGCCTGAGGAGGACTTTGGTCCTTGGATACACATAACTTTCAGAAAGTGAGCTTATGGCAGTGGGTAGCCCCTTCCCCTTTCCCACATCCCTCTTTTTCCCCAAGGCTAGTTTTTACATTGGCCGGTGATTCATGGTGATGTCTCTTGAATGTGTCTCCCCATCTTTGCCCCCCCCATTATTAGGTTTAATTATTTCCTCCATGCTTTAGATAGGCCAGACCTCTTATGGCTGTGTGTGTTGCTGTTGGGGCTCGGGCCAACAGCAACACACAAGGACACCCTCAAACAAAGCTAACTTGTTTTTGCCTCCAAAATAGCTTGCAGAAGATGGTGCCTCCGGATCAGCCACAAACAGTAACAACCACCTAGCCGAGCCTCAGATCCGCCGGCCTCGTAGCCTCAGCTCGCCAACAGTAACTCTCTCTGCCCCACTGGAGGTGAGAAGGCTACCTCGCCTAACCAGGGTCATCTCTGTCCTGTGGCTACTCTTCACTCTCTCTTCTCTCTAAACCGGACTTTGCTTCTCAGGCAGCTCCACACTGAGCAGTCGTGCGCTGGCGGTGAAGGCTGCTCCGTGCAGACTGCCCATGGGCTTCTGTGTCTTGCCCAGCTAACATTCTGGACTCTGTCACAGTCTTCATTCTCATTTGGCTGGCGCCATGCGTGGTGACTGGCGCTCTCTCTGTTGAACTTGTGCCGTCCCTGTTGTGTTTGCTCCTTCTTGCCTGCTACCTCATCAGCACTCGTAATTCCTCTGAACAGCAACGCTTCCGTTGAGTTTTATAACATGGTTGTTGCTTTGTTCATATTTTCTTTGACGTAGGGTCTTCCATCATGTGGGTACATGCTTCGGATGTGTATTTTCATCTCTTAAGTCACATTGCTGGACATCTGCTTGTGCGCTCTACTCTTTGTGCTTTAGTGGCAGCCCTGAACATCACAAATGGCAGACACTTAGAAAAGCCAGAGAATAAATGAGTAAATTAAAGTGCCCTGAGGCAAGCTCCTACACAGCGGGAGTAGGTGACAGCACTTCTAGACTGTTGGGGATGTGGGCTAACAACTATCACTCCTGGTGGCTGCCTCCACCGACGGGGGAGGGGGTCTCCTCCGGGGCTCTCAAACCCGGCAGTGTGTTCCTAAGACTGTGGGCTCTTTGAGAGCAAGGACTCACCTTGCTCTGAAGTCTGCACCCATAACATGGTAATTTTTGGCAGGCATGATTGCGGAGAATTGTGGCTATTCATCCTTGGTATTGTTGCGTATCTAACCAATAGAAAGGCATATGGTTAGGGTTGGTTTGAAAGTAGGTGTCGAAATGGGGGTTTGAGGGAGTCTCTCCCACGTCAGTCTCTGAGGAAAAGCTCTCTGCGGTACCAGCTGCACTGTGACATGTTGGCTTGGCCCATGGCAAAGAGTTCTAACACTCGTTATTGTTCCTAGGGTGCCAAGGACTCACCCATACGCCGTGCTGTGAAAGATACCCTATCCAACCCACAGTCCCCTCAGCCATCACCTTACAACTCCCCCAAACCACAACACAAAGTCACACAGAGCTTCCTGCCGCCAGGCTGGGAGATGCGGATAGCGCCAAACGGCCGACCCTTCTTCATTGACCATAACACAAAGACTACAACATGGGTAAGGCTGCTGCTTTTATTTGGCACCGTTTTCACCGTGAGCTCCGGTTAACTCTTCTCCTTTCTGACTCAAACCAATCCGTGCGGTCCCTGTAGAGGAGTTTCATCAGCAACTCTGAAGCAAGTGTCCTGAGGAGCAGGTGGGCTTCCCAGATGCTCAGGCCCAGCTGCTGGCCACTGGGGTGCTGTACCAGCCTGGCACTTCTGGAAAGCTCTGGCGTTAGTAATTTGTCCCAGCTGGGGGGAAGGGTAGCGCTCACATTGCTAGCCTTTTGACGTTACTGTAGCACATCTCATGCTCTTCATAACTGTATTAGGAATGGTAGTGTTTAAAACTAATGTTTTCCCTGTCTCTCTTTGCCATACACCCCTTTTGTAAGAAGAGCCTCTTTCGCTCTAGTGGTCATTTCATATAGCATTTTCTATGACTGTGCTGCATTTTCTTTCCATCCTTTGTGGATTAAAAGATCACCCGAATGAACTGGTTAAGACCTGACTGTTCTTCCCAGTGAGCGTTTTGACACAACTGATTTTCTTGCCATGGTGATCTTTCTCAAGTCACGCGTGTGAAAGAGCCCGTGTGTTGCGCTGAGGAGAGATGAGATGAAGCCAAGGTCAATGAGCATCTGTGTGTCCCTCTGTCAGCTCTCCGCTTCTTCAGCCTAGCCAGAGCTAGCTTTCTCAAGGCAGCATAGAGCACTCCTAAACGTCAGTGTTCCTCTGTTGCCCGGCCCCTAGCCCCGTAATTCCCCTGAATTTGCATCTCTTGTTGGTTTTGATGCAACAGGAACTTCATTTTTCTGCCTGCCCTATCTGATTGGGTAGAACAAACTCAAGGATTAATGTTGCAACATTTGTGCTTCTTGCTCAGAACTGATAGGAGTTTTTCCCCAGATCACGTGCACTTCCAATTCCTGTTTCTAGTTGTGATGGAACAGCAGTATTATGTTAAGGAAAAGGCTTCAACCAAGGTGACCTTGGCTATCATTTACACCCAGGCTGTGGTGTAATGTTAATTCAATCCCTTGAGAATTGGTCTAGAGGGCAGTGTGCTCCCTGAAGGCCTGAGGTGCAGTGTGTCTTAACGAGGGCATTCTTGGCAGCTGGGGCAGGCCTGTGCCTTCCTCTGTGGGATGTGGAAAGCTAATGGCTGCCATCACCCTTCCCATATACCGATGATCAGAAATGCATTTCCAGACACCCCGCAGTGAGAACCAAACCATTCTCGGGGCTCTACCCTGTTTTGCAGAAAAGGAATTTACTTACCTGCCAAGGGCCTTACCATGGAGATCTGATGACATCCACTTGGTAAACTGATAACTACTTCTGAAGCATAGAATGACATGGAGGTTTGTTTGACTCACCTTGGAGTGGGAAGATAGTATTACAGGCTTGTGGGCCAGCTAAAAAGAGAGCAGCTTTTTAGCAAATAGAACCATAGAGATCGGTTTGGGGTCTTTTTATTTACATTTTATTTTTATTTTTTTGTCATTGACACAGAACCTCAGCTGTCCTTCTGGTGTTCCCATTTTTCCATAGCGCTGCTGGGATTGCAAACCCTTAGCCAGAAACTGGAGATCCAGAGACAAGGGATAAATATCATAAAAGTCAGAGGATTAGTGAATGGAGCCACTGTGGCTTGCCAACATAAGCTATGATTTTAGTAATGTGAACTAGCTTAGTAATCAAATCCCCTAACCTTTTCACAGCCTTTCACGCCCCAACTGCAGTGTAACTGCAGCTGGGCAGGTTTGATTTTAAATAGCACCGGCTTTATTTATTGCCGGCACAGATGCCAATGAAACCTGCTTCTGATCACCAGTTGTCTCTTTTTACTCAGATTCTTGCTTTTGACCGATTCACTCACTTGAACATTTAATTTATTAAAACACGTCATGGCTGCTGCCACTGAAAACTCCTGAGCAACCACTGGAAGCCCCTCAAGTTGCCTCCCTTCCTGAGCCAGGCAGATGTGCCGATAGGCTGTGTTATCTCATCCAGACAAAGACACCGTACAGCATTCTCATTGGGAAAAATAGATTCAGAATTGCATGTCTGCCTGGACAGAGGGTGGAAAAGGCAGAAAGTGAAGACATTTTCTGAATTCGGGCATGACTGTCATCAGCATTATGGGGCTCAATGGCAAGGCAGCGCACGCTTCATAGATTTGAGAGTTTGAACAGAAGAAAGGAAAACAGCTGGCAGGGCAACCTGGGAACAGTGAAAATACCACTGCCCCTTTCACCCTGTATCGTTGGTTCTTGAACTTCACTGGAAGCATGAGAAGGCTCAGGCTAGCATCCCTTCATATACACCAGGAGAATGAAAAGTCAGTTAGAACCATATCTACAATGCACAGTCTTTATTCACACAGGTGATAACTGGAATTAGATCTGACCACATTTTTAAAAAAACAATAATAATGGATGGCTTTGGCCTCACCAGCAGCAATGCATGCTGGGACTCACTAAGAGACCTCAGCTTTCTTCCTTCCCTCTTGTTAAGGGAGCAGCCGAAAGCATGTGTGTTGCCATACGGACGCCTTCCACAGGGAAAGGCATCGGCCTGTTTCTACAGCCACAAACTTTAGGCCTTAAGTTAAATTAAAATACCCGAGTTGATGAGAACAAGAGTGACTGTAACCTAGGTGTGACTGGTGAGAAGAAAGGGGAAAAGCACATTTAGGATTTTCTTTAACCAATTGGTATTGCTGTTTTATGTATTTTTTAAAAATCAAGAAGGCTTTCTTTTACGTATAAACACACACACCCACCCACAGAGGAAGTCGAGAAACAGCCAGGTGTGGTTTTATCTACTTGATCGGTTGATGTTTTTAGCATTGAAGACCTCGTTAGTATTCCATCTTATCATTATTGCAATATTGTCCTCAAGTGCTATCAGACCTTACCTGCCATGTCTGTCACTTCTGCTTCAGCTACAGAGATGCCTACCCCTTGGTCTGTCCCATGAACTGCTGGCAGCTGCAGCCACTTTTTTTTGGCTACTGCTACTACAATAAAATATGAGTCTTGGCCTACCCATGCTCTGAAGTGTGGTTTCCATACAAAGCCACTTTAGCAGAACTGCAAAGCTGAGCTTATTTAACCCTCTGGTCCCTTTCCACTCCCCCAGGACCTGGTACTTTTTATTAATCTTAATCTCTTTCTTTTTTCTTCTCTGCATCACCTATCTGTGGCCAGTGGAGCCAGCTGTCTTGCACAGTTGCCTTCACTCCATGTCTGGCCCTTCCTGTCTGAGCACCCAGGATCCCCACCTCCTAATAAACATCCTGGGCTTTCTGTAAATCTGGCTTAGCCATGGGCAGCCTGGGGTTTCAAGGGTCCCTGGCAACTGCTGTGTAAATACTAAGTGGGTAGCTTTGGTGGAGTTCATTTAAGTCTCTCTCCAGTTAACCCCCTCCAAGTGATACCCTGGTCATCAGTTTCTTGGCCTCTCTAAGTCCTAAAGTTGGCATAACTCCATGTGCTGCAAGAGTGCTACAGAATGCTGGAAATGCTACATCTGGGCCTCTTGAAAGATGCATTAGCTTCAGGGTCAACATTCAGCACAAAGCACTATGATGATTTATGTCTTCAATTAAAATCTGCTCTCTCTTACAGCAAACAGGGCCACTTGTACTGTTTGTGCTCCTATTTATTCTTGCCATTTCCAAAAACCTCTCACTTTGTTATAATCCAGTGCTCCTGGCTTTCACTGTTGATCTGTAGCAGTCAGCCTTTGGGTAATTTGGCAGCAGTGCAGCATTTTCCTTTGATGAAATGGAGCTAGTGTCAGATGTCTCAACGGTTTGCTTTTACCTGCCTGGATGGTGTTATTGTTCCAGTTGACTGGATATCATTCTGAGTTTTATTTGTTTTCTAATCTTTTGAGTTTAAAAGCTTTGGATTCTCTTAAGTCCCATCACATTCTAATTGGCCCTACATGAGGGCAAGTCAGTTTGGGAATCTGGGTCTCTGATACTGTTTTCCTCATCTAAAGAAACAGAGACATATAATCATCATCATCATCATCATCATCATCAGAGATAAGGGATGTTGCAAGATCAGATGTCTAATTATTCTTTGCAAATGATAAAACATAACCAAAGATTCCAGAGTATTTATTTCTCTTTCCTTGATTTTTCTCCAGCCTCTAGGCAGCATATTTTTTAAGAGTCATGTTAAGACATGAATAAGAACCTAACCATCAGAACTCAGTCAGTAGTCTCATTCAAGTTGCCTGCTGCCACATGTATGATTTCATATGATAAAGCAGGTTGACTCTGGAATAGCATATTTTCAGATTCAGGCAGATTCAGAAGGAGTTGGGGACACCCAAGTACTAAGAAATGCTGTTCTCAAAGGGTCATCATTTAGAGGCTGTGACCACTCACCCTTCCCCTTCTCTGGAGGACAGGCATGCATCCTCCATTCTGTCTGGTTGCCTTTCCCCCTTCACCTTCTCTAAGTCTTGGAGAGGCAGTTAACCTCTCGTTGAAGTGTTTGTTCTGCTTTCTCGAGATATGGTAGGCAGGCTTCCTCTACCAAAGAAACATGAAGGAAGGGAAGGTGCCAATGAGTACACACAGGGAGACCCTCTTAACAGCTGCCATGTTTTTCCTGCAGGAAGACCCACGGCTGAAATTTCCAGTACATATGCGGTCAAAAGCATCTTTAAACCCTAATGACCTGGGTCCACTTCCTGTGAGTATACCACAGAAACATGAAATGGTCCAGAAATGTTCTTATCATCTCAGTGTTCATGGAGAGGCCTGCAGATCTCCCCAAGGCTCTCTGGGTCCATTGGTCAGTGTTCCTTCCTTAGAAGGGCCAGATGTTTGGGCACTTTGAAAGGTACATTACAGTATATGCAATACCAGTACATGTAAAAGAAGACTTTTAATTATTAGCTATTAGTGGAAGTTAGTTTTGATCTAGGGCATGTACAAGAGGCATATACTGCAGGTGCCAATTTAAGCAGCATGCATTTATTTTGTAACTTAGCAACTACTGAGCTCTGGCCATACTGCTAAGTCATAAGGACAAAAGCCATGAATATACTAAGGAAAGAAAATAATCACAGAAACTTTTTCTATGTCACTTAACCTGTAGATTCTTTTAAGTGATTTTCCCCCTTTGTTGTAGACTCATTATAAACCTGTGGTGGTGTGGTTTTGATTTTTGTTTTGTTTTGTAATTTCGTTCCTCTCTGGGAGCATGGTATAATTTGGTCTGTACTCAGTTTGGGATGAAAATTTTACCGTCTGCCTTCTTCAACAGCCCAGCCATCATAAAAAAAAAAAAAAAAAAAAAAAAAAAGACTGGAGATATGGAGACAGGGTTGGCTTTGGTTTGGTTTTGTTTTAGTTTGGGGTTCTAGTATTACTATTTTATTTCTTTTTAGACAGCCAAGGCCAGCCTAGAACTCAAAACCTCCTGCTCTTACTTCCCAGGCGCTCGGATAGCAGAGATGCACCACTATGCCCAACCTCTAACAAACTGTTTTTAAATGGGAATTGTTATTATTTTACAAGGATGAGAGCCTTCTTAACATATTAAAAAAAAAAAATCTCTGGGGAGATGGCCTGGTGTAAAAGAGTGCTTGCTGAACATATATTGGGATCCTAGTTGGAATTCCTGGAACCCACATGAAACACTAGACCTGGGCCATGAACACCCATAGCCCCTGGTACTACAGCATGGGGAAGCCTGGAGGATATCTGGAGCTTGCTGGCTAGACTAGCTCCAAGCACAGTAAGACATCGTCTCAAAGGAACAGGGCATGCAGCGTCCTCCTCAGACTTCCACACACGTGGGGCATGTATACTTGCACATACGAAACACATACACATGGCATCCTTCCTTGCCCTCCCACCAAAAAAGAGAAAATCTATTGTCTGAATCTTTTGTATTTCTGAGTCAGGTGAGGCATGCCGAGCGAATCTTAAAAAGCACCCAGTTGTTGGGGCTGTGACTCAGCAGGTAAAGCCCTGGCTGTCAAAGTGTGAAGACTGGGGTTCAGCTCCCCAGCTCCCACATGGAAGCCCCATGGGTGGTGTGACATCCTTCATGTAAGCTCTATGGGGGAGGGGGCGTGGAGGCAGAAAGGCAGTCCCCAGAATAAGCTGGCTAGCAGGCCAGCCAAAAAGACAAGCGCCAGGCTCTCCAAGGGGCCCTTCCTTGTTAGGCTAGAGAACAAACAAGGATGACACCAGACATCCACCTCAGGCCTCAGGACCCATTCCCGCCCTTGTGCACACGTGCCTGCGGATACATGTACACCCACACAGTTAAGCAGAGGGAGGAACTCTGGGTTACTCTGCCACTGTGTGCTACACAGTTATAAGCCCCTATTCCTTCCCTGAAGTATGCAGTAGGTATTTTAACCAAATGAACTCCTCATGCTGAAATCTTTTAAAAATACTACTTAGATTTTTTTTTATGTGTATTATAGTTTTGCCTGACTTGTGTGTATACACACTCTATGTCCCCCGGGTGCCCCCAAAAGTCACGCCCACAAAAGACACTGTCAGGTTTCCTGGAACTGGAGTCCGTGGATGGTTTTGAGACATAGTGGGTGCTGGGAAACAAACCCAGGTCCTCCTCGAGAACAGCAGGTGCTCTTTGCTCAAGCCATCTCTCTAGCCCTCACACTGACCCCTTGAACAGTTTCTGGTCCTTCATACAGTAAAAGCTTGGGAGACGTTGGCCGCTATGCGACTTGTTAGCTGTGCCCCTGCGTTAGCGTCACTTGGAATATTCTCAGTGTGAAGATGTCCCTAGCAGAGGAGATTCAAGAAGGTTCCTGGAGTTTTCAGTGTCCCCTGGGATTTGGGAACTGCTGACTGATGCTTGTGTTCTCTCCCCCTCCTCCTCCTGGATGCCAGCCCGGTTGGGAAGAGAGGATCCACTTGGATGGCCGCACATTTTACATCGACCACAGTAAGTAGACGCCACTGGGCCCACAAGTGTGACAGGGTGCAGGAAGGGGAGGGTGACACAACTGTGATGGTGAAGCTATGTCGTTTTACTCCCTGTCCAGGCAGCCAGGTGTTATGTGGAGAGAATGACACCAGAGAATCAGTGCCCTTATACGGTACTGTGCCTTCACCCCGAGTTTGCTTCAAAGTAGCCCATCAGGCTTTCACCCAATTTGATCTTGTGACCTATTAACTTTTTTATAATTTAAAAAAAAAAACTTTTTTGTTGTTGACAGTCCCTTGATATTTGCGCTTTTAATAAATGCACTCTGGAAATAGAAAATAAGATTAGAAGTAATGATTTAGTTTAAAATAAATAAATCTTCTCAAGCAGTGTTTTCAGCTATGTATGCTTTCAAAACACTGGCTTTAGAGATGCCCGTTCTGACCTTATTTTCTATCATGGCATGTTCCCTTGCACCCAGCACACTAATGATGTATGTAGCTGTTTCCCTGAAACCTTAGTCCATTTGCTGAAGATACCTGCTTTAGCACCCAAGAATATATGCGTGGTTTCTCATTTCATCTGGAAGTTAAACTAATATGTCTTTTCTTTTAGCCAGGGAGTTGGTTCTGGAGGGCTGGGGGAGATTTTGGATTTTGTATTTGTTTTTAGATGGTTTGTTCTTCATGAAATTATATTCATGAAGGACTAAAACTTTCCAAAGAAAGAAAGAAAAAAGGAAAACCTAAAAGAAGGCTCCAGATAAAGTTCAAATCTGTGTGCAGTTGGTAGTATTTTGTTCTTTCTCTTCACTTAGTTCACTTAGCAGGAAGTGAGCTCCAGGCTTCGGGTTTTGATAACCAAACAAAGTGTATTGATGAGCCTTTTGCTGGGAAGCCTGTCCCCGGGCAGTGCTACCCAGGCCGATGCCCATGGGGTGGGAGGGTCCACTCCTCTGAGTGTCGCTAGGAAACCTCATATACTCCAAGAACCTGTCTTCAGACATGAAGGTTGGTGGGCTTGAAGTCAGTGAGAACACCCAGCCAAAACCCAGAAGGTTTAGGGGACAGTGCCACCCTTGGAACAAAATCAGATTATTTCAAGATATGCAAACTTTGATTTTGTGCTTGATTAGAAAAAATACTGAGTTATGTACTTTCCAGCACTGTCCTGTGAGCATACAGCACAGAGTCAGCGCGAACGCTTCCGTGTATGTGCACGCGCTGCTTTCCCCTGAAATACTGTTTTATTCTAAATTCTGAGAGCCTCCTAAAATGGGAAAGAGGTTACCTTTGTAGCGCTACTGAAAACAGTTCTCCATAATTTACCAGTCTTTGCCCTGTGGACAACCATAAAGGGTTACATATGCCAGTGAAAGCTCTTCTGCCTCTCCCTCCAAGTCTAGTGTGTGAAGTAATAATCCCTGTCTCTTTCAAAGACTTTGTTTTGGGTACTCCCCAAAACAGCTTTACTCACCTGGTGGATAGGTTTAGGAGTTTCCTTATCTTCTGAGTGAAGTCTCTTTCCGTACAGCTGTCTAGCAAAATCCACCATCGCCCTTTGCTGCCATCATGCACACCAGCCTTCACCCCAAGTATCGTTGGTATGGCCTACGTTACCAGTGGTTGACTTGAGAGGCAGGCTTTCAAAAGCACCAGACGCTGGAGTTTGGGCCTTGATTCATTTGATGGATAATTATTGATGAGCTCCTTCTATGTGGTGTTCGAGAAATATCTAGAATGAAATCTCTAGTGCTCTTGGGGAAATTTTTTTTTTAACAGACCAGTTGCACCCAGAAGTACCACAGAATTGGCCAGTAGTATCCCAGATACAAAAGTTACAAGAGAAATTCCATGAAATTTTGTGTTCCTCCACCCTGCCCACAATAACCAAATCTGGGAGCAGAGGCTAAAGTGGCTGGGCTTCTCGCCCCTTTGCTTCCCTCTTGTCATTTGATTTGAAATGTAGTATCTCGGAGGTTAAAAAGCATGTTGAGATCTGAAGCTCTTTTTAAAACTCTGTCTACCCGTCCGCCACTCATCCACCTGTTTGTACACCTCACAGCAGATTCCTTCTGTAGCGCCAGGAAAACGTGTGTGGTTCCAAGCGCTCAAACTGTTTGGGAAAGACTATTTTTTTTCTCACTGTTGGCTTCATTCAGTCATTACAAAGACAACACCTGAAGCTCCTGTCAGGTGCTGGGGCATGGTCATCAGTGGAGAGGAGTTATGGGATCAGATAGCTACCTACAAACCCTATCCTCAAGGGTCTAGTAGTGAGATGTGTCTTCCATACTATGCTGGAAGGTGAACCTGTTTGCTGTTGGCTGAAGATGGCTTTGTGGGATCTGTCCCCTTTAGGACAGATTTTGAGCAGGATTCACTCTGAAGGACATGGTGGAAATCAGTGTTAGGACAAACCAGATATGGCCAGCAGATCCCATACTGGAAGTGGAGACTGCCTCATGGGCTCTGCCCCTCAAAACCCTAAAGCCTTGGTCACGCTTTGTTTGTATGTGTAAAGACATTTACAGGAGCGTGACTGGTCATACTGTACCCATCATCAAGGGAAAGCAGCCCTGGCTGGCATGCAAAGGAGGCTGGCATGGTACCCAATCCAACGTGACAGGTATCTGAGAGTATGAGGACTTGGATGCACTTTGCAGACAGTAGGAGCTTCCGAGGTCTTTCCCAGGGTCCAAGGACAGCGGTCAGATGTATTCCTGAGAATAAACTCTGGGCAGACCTGTGGAGGAAATCTTGAATGGAAGCTAATCTGGACCATAGAATAGTCCAAGAAACAGACCTGTGCCCCACCCAGCCAGAAGAGAAGTGATGGCGCTTTGATGATTACCAAGGACAGGCAAGGACATGGTCAGGTTTTGGATTTTGGTAGTCCGTGGGTTATGATACTGCTTTTGTTAGTCAGACTTCAGTCATTGTGATAGATACCTGGCACAAGCAGCTTAAAGGAGGAAGACTTTTTTTTTTTTTTTTTTTTTTGTGGCTCACAGGTTCAGAGGTCTAGCTAGTCCTTTACTCCATTGCTTCTGGACCATCATGGTGGTCGACAACTATGCCAGAGACTATTCATCATAGCAGACAGGAAGAGAGTGACAGGATGTCTAGGCTGATGGCCGCTCTCGTTTCTCCCCCTTTTAATCCATCCTCACGCCCAGCATGTAGGATAGAGCTGCCCATGTTCTGGCAGTTTTCCCCTCCCCCTCCCCCCCCCCCCCCCCCCCCCCCCCCGTCTCCCCAATTAATCCTCTCTGGAAAAGCCCCCACAGACACACCCAGAGGTTTGCTTCACTGATCTCAGTTCAATCAAATCAGCCATTGGGATTAATCCTCAGGCTGCTGACTGGAGTGTCAGGTGACACCTGTCGGGTGGCTGATCACCTGCTCAGGGCTCTCAGGGAACCCCAGTGCAGGTGTCAGGTGGACTCTGATATTCAGGTCTGGTGAGAAGATTTGAAAGTCCGGTGTTGGGAGAGGTTGGGTTTACTTTGATCACAAACACCCAGTCAGCAGTCAGCGGTTATTACCCAAACTGCTATAGAAAGGCACGGTTCCGTCCAGCTGTGTCCCACCGAGTTCTGTGACTGTTATCTTGTTTTATTATTTTTCCACCTCATTACCAGCGTTGGCTTTCTGAAGTCTTCTCTTTTTAGCAGGTAGGCAACCTGAAATACCACCTGCATCTGCCAGTGTTCCCTGAGGCAGTTGAGCTTTTCAGTCATACACTTTTTCTGCCAAACCAAAATGAAATAAGCATCGTAGACGCGTAGTCTTAGGGTTTCGTTTTTCTCTTAAATGTGCACCATGAGTGTGTTTTCATTACCCAGAGTAACGGGTTCCATCATGGCATTTCCATACATGTCTTCTTGTCTGCTTTAATCGTAATCGGCCTAGAGCATCTTTGTAACACCTCTGTTTTCATGAAGTTAATAACATCAGAGTTTAAAAAAGTAACTGAGGTGCTTGTTAGAGTTGACTCTCTGAGTTGATATCAGCTCACTAGCAGGCTGAAAATGAACACAGTGATTTTTCAAGAAATACCCCCCTCCTCCCTCCTTTTTTTTTTTTTCCTTCAAAAATAGAAGTAACCTGTCATACCCCAACCTGCCCTTTCCACACCCTTGTCTTCCTAGTCCCCCAGACATACCTCCACCGGATGCCGCATGCATGCGCAGGCCGTCCTGAAGCACTCTTAGTCACGCGCAGATGAAACCCTACAGGACCACCTGGGCCAGTGACGGCATACCTGGTGTTAAGCAGTTTTGTTCTCGCTGTCTCTTTTGGAAGAAAGGAAACTGGGCCTGCCCAGCCAGCAGGCTGCCAGGAACCTTTCTCTGAAATCTTGCTCCGCTCTAATTCATGTGTGAGTGTGTGCACGTGCGTGTGTGTGTGTGTGTGTGTGTGTGTGTGTGTGTGTGTGTGCGTGTGTGTCTCCACCTTTGCTCTCTACTTGAAAGCAGTTTTTCTACACCATAAGCAAATTTTAAGAAGTAGTCTACATTTTTTTTAAAAGTGTATGTGTTAGCTTTCGAGGGAACGGAATCGTCCTATGCCTTTTGAAAACCAAGATCGAGTTATAAATCCTTGTGAATAAAGGGGTTTATAATTACAGACTTACTAGGTTGCTCGTCCAGACTTGCACAGGGATGGTTTTACTTTTGTTGTGCATTTTTTATTATTGTTTTTAACTAATCAAATATATGTTTGCCATGTACAGCAGTTACCTTCTAACCCCAAATACTAAATTCTCCCTGGGGTCAAGTCAAAGGGGCTTTAGAAAAGGAAATTGTTCTTAAACACCCTATATACAGAAGAGGCTAGAACTAACGCGCTGGTGTTTTTACTGTTTTCAGATAGTAAAATTACCCAGTGGGAAGATCCAAGACTACAGAACCCAGCCATCACTGGTCCGGTCAGTATTCTCCGTTCCTCCCCTTTGTATGAGCTTATCGCTGCATAGTACATACAGTTTTTGTGTGTGGCTACAGTGATACCAAGAGACTGGTGAAATTGAGTAGTTTAAGGTTCATCCCAGCTCTTCAGTGAGTTTTCCAGATGTGTTACAGCTGCATGAGCCTTCACTTGGGACTAGGATTAGAAAGGAAGAGAAAATGGTGTGATAATAGGAGATTGAAGCGTTTTCTTCCTGGTCCTTTGTAACGGGTTTTTTGTTTTTTTTGTTTTTGTTTTGTTTTGTTTTTTTAATTTCTTTCTTCCTGGCCCTTTGTAAAAGGTTTAAATGTGTAATCAGGATTGTCTTTTTTTAACTGTAATGAAGAGTTGTTAAAGATATTTTTAATGCAGGCGTAAACATGAGAATTAGGAGAAAGAGAAGCCCTCAGAAAAATAGAAATACATTGATAAATTATCCTGCTATAAATTATTCTCTGCTGGTGAAATGATCCAATCCAAGCCAGATTATATAAAGGCAGGTTTATTGGATGCAGCTCTTGGGCAGGCTTACTGGTCCCAAGGAGAGGAGCCAGGAAAGTTGTCATGGGAAGGGGGACAAAAGGGAGGGGGAAGAGAAAGAGTGCTCAAATGTGGGGTGGAGAGGTAGGGGAGTGGGGGAGGACCCGTGACACACCAAAACGTCCAGATTATATAGGAAAGAATTTCTGGGAGAGGGGGAGCCCAGCCCCTGAGCTGGAAAGTTCAGCATGCCCTGTAAGAGGTAGGGACTGAGGCATGCTGGGAAAACCTGGGGGCCAGGTCCGCTTTTGTTGATAATAAATGAACTTCCTGCTGACACTGGATGCTATTGGGGCAGGGTAGGGTTTAGGGCAGAACTGGAGGTGAGGGTAGTTTGGGGGTTTCTAGAAATAGAAGGTGAAAGGTTTGGACCCGTGAAGGCCCATGGGGGGAGAAGGAGGAATGGCTCTGAGGGTCTGAGAGGTACTGGGTAGAATATAGTGTGATAAGCTGGAACAGGGTGGCCTTGAGAGCCTGGCGGGTGAGTTCCACAGCTGCTGCTATGGCTCTCAGACACGGCTGCCATCCACACACAGTGATCTTGATGTTTGAGCAAGAAAGCTAAGTACACCCATATGAGCGGGCCTAAAACAGCTGTGACCACTCCCATCCTCTCATTGGTGAAGAGGGTAGGGGTGGGTGGAGTCTGTGAGTGCCAGGGGCCATTAAGAGGATAACCCAGAGTCAAAAAAATAAATAAAAGTGATGGCGGCTAGTGGGTGAGGGGCCCTGTGGGGGTCTCTGTGGCTGCCTGGCACAGAGGCTTAGCTATAATAGCAAAATTGGGGATCCATTGTCTGAAGAACCCCACCAGGCCCAAAAGTAAAAGCATCCAGTCCTCTGTAGTTAGCAGCTGTAGATCCTTCAGAGCCTGCACCCGGTCAGAGGTGAGGCTCTTAGACCCCAGGCCAAGTCAGATGCCCAGGGACACAACAGCAGGAGAGCGTAGGTGAGCACCCGGGGAACTGAGATAGTTTAGGCCTGAAGTGGTGTTTTGCTGGGAAGGAGACAGGGAAGGGCTGAAGAGTAACACAAGTTCTGGGACAACCAGTTTAGGTGAATTTTGCAACAGACATCCAAGAGGTGTCTGGGGATCGATTTTAGACCCAGCAGTATCCATCTTCCCAGCCTTTGCCGGAGATCCCAAATCTATGAAGGTGGCATCCTGGGATCGGACGGATTTTCTTTCTTTTTCTATTTTTCTTTTCTTTTTCTTTTTTTTTTTCTTTTTTTTTGGAGGTGGGGGTAGGGGGCTGCTAACCAGGAATAAGATGTCACTTATCAGAGGCTGCCCCAGAACAAAGACCTGGTCTTTGTTCCGGAATGGGCTAGCCTCCCACAGAGGAAGTCCAAAGGGTCCTGGACCTGGAAGTAGGCATTAGCTGGGGATGGTTACTCACCGAGTCTACCTCAGGCAGAGAAAAGGCTAGAAGGAGAGAAGCAGATCTCCCTTGTGGCCAGGAGAGATCGGGAAGGCCACCAAACCGGGACTCAGCTTCTGAGTTTTGGCACCAAGTCAGATTAAAAGTTTAAAAGGGGCAGGTTTATTTGGGAACTGGGGCTCCTTGCCTCAGGGGAACCAGAGGAAGTCCCACCCAGACAATGGTGGGGAGAGCAAGCAAAGGAAAATACAGACCTGTGCCCAGATATGGCCATCTGGGGCAGGGGCTTGGAAGCTGGCGACTCCAGATGAGGGGGTTGGGGCAGTCTTCAGGAATGCCAGGAATGGGGAACTGGGCCTTGGAGGCAATCTTCAGAGGGGCAGGGTTGGAGATAGAGAAAATGGGATTGACCAGGTCATGTGGGGAAGGGACCAACCGGACATGCCTTATACCCAAGTGTGAATACAGGCTCCTTAAGAGAAAAACACTCCTCCCCTCCTCTTTATAGGCTGCAAAACCATGCATTTATAGGATGATGTCATTTGTTAGGTCAAGAATAATAAACACATGCCAGTCAACCTGAGTCTCTTCCGCCTTTAAAAACCTGTCGAGAAGATGTTGGAAAGCTATGGCTCAGGCATCAGCTCTGGTGACTCCCTGACTATCCTAGTGTCACTCCTACATTCGGCTTAGAAAGCAGACATCTGACTCAGAGCTGTGACCCCCTGAAATTCATAGTCAGGGAAAGTCCTAAGACCTTTCTTGCTAGGAACACTCTCATCAGCCAGGGGTACCTGGTGAGGTTTGCCAGTGAGCTACAGGTGCTGAGAGAGAATCTGGCTGGCCTTTTCAGTTCTACTACTGATAACATAATTCTGTTATTTTTCTTCTGGTCCTCCCACCCCTCCCTGTCCCCCACCACCACCCAGATGTTCTCCCATATTCTCTGGCCTCCAGATGTTAAAAATTTACTGCCAATCTGATTGCCATTTCTTGGAGGGCAAATATTTCTTCCTTGGTTTTTTTCTCATTATCTTTGATGTTCCAGAAGCTCACAAACACATGTCAAATTGTGTATTTCACATTGGATTAAGAATAATCATCCATAGATTGGGGGGTGGGCTCATTATATCTGTCCTCTGTTCTAGTAAATCCTTAGCTGTTATTTCTTCCCAAACTTTCCCCCATCCTTACTCCAGCTAAAAGTTTGCATTCCTTTTCCATCTTTGTTCTTGTCCTTAGGAATATCCTTCCTCCCTCCTTGGCTATATTTTGAGTTACTACTTGACTCGTCTAGTTAATTCTTTAAGGTGTGTGTGTGTGTGTGTACTCTATCTGCATGTACACCTGCATGCCAGAAGAAGACACTAGATCACATTATAGATGGTTGTGAGCCACCATGTGGTTGCCGGGAATCGAACTCAGGACCTCTGGAAGAGCAGATAGTGTTCTTAACCACTGAGCCAGCTCCCTCTTTAAGGTTTTTATAATTTTTTTTCATGTATCCATTGCTGTTAAGACTGCCAGCTTGTACAGTTGCTATGAAATCAGTGTGGGGAGTCCCTTAGGAAGCTAAGAATCAATCTACCTCAAGGTCAGCCTATACCGTTTTGGGGCATATACCAAAAGACTCGTATGTCATACTACAAATAATTGCCCACCCATGTTCATTGCTGCTCTATTCACAATAGCCAAACATTGGGAAAGGCCTACATGTCCATCAGCTGATGAATGGATAATGAAAATGTGGAACATTTACACAATGGAATAGTATCCAGCTGTTAAGAAAAATAAAATCTGCAAGTAAATAAATGAAGCTAGAAACATTCCTTCTGAACCAGGCAACCCAGATCCCAAAGGCAACTATTGCATAGAATCTTATTCCGTGGATGTTAGCTCTTAAGCTTTCAGTGTGTGGTTCAATCTAAGTAATCATAGGTACCTTAGTGAGAGAACAGAGAAGAGGGGATCTCAGAAGGAAGGGGGACTAGAGTGTATTGTTATGGAGAGATAGAGGAAACTGGAGTAGGATTGAATGGGGAGGGGGATAGAAGAGCAGGGTAAAGGGGGGGAAGGAAACTAACACTAAAGATTCTTTTTAAAAACCATATGGAAGCCTACTACTGTAGAAGCTTCCTAAAATATCTACACATATGAAAAGAATTTAGATGGAGTCACCATATGATAGTGGAGGCAAAGCTCCAAGTCAGATTCTTTTTACATAACTGAGGAAACGTTTCTCAGTTGCAAGGACGTGTCACAGAGCTAGCTGGTAAAGTTGTCTGCCTAAGCCAGTGGGAGAAAATGGTGGAGGAACCTCCCTGCCTCACCCCTCAACCCCTCCTGACCCCAGTTTCAGTCACAGGTAATCTTGACTATCAACCAAAGGTTTTTCCTCCTTAGAGCTCGTTGTTCACTGTTCCCCATCTGTTTCATTCCATCTCTCTATTTTCTGCTCAGAGGTACCTCAGAGCTGTCCCCCCTAGGCTCCCAGAAAATAACCCTCCAAATATCCACCAGTTTTCCCCTTACCACCTGACTCTATTCATTCACTCCTTTTTGTGTTCTCCCTTTTCATTAGCATGTATTAATTGTAAAAAGTAGTATTCACTATGACATTTTCATACATACGTGCATACATATATTTCATATATTATATATGAGAATATATATATATATATAATGTACTTTAATAATACTCACATCCCTCCCCCATTGTCCTCTCTCATCCTCCCTTCCCCCTACTGCTGATCTCATCCCAGTTACCCAGTTACCAAATAATCACCCATCTATTTTCAGGTGTTTTGTTTTGTTTAATCTAGGTTCTGTATGAAAGGGAAAATGTTCTATCTGTTCTCCTTCTTAGACTGGCTTATTTCATTTACCATGGGTTCTGATTCTACCCAAGTGACATAATCTCATTCTTTACAGCTGTATTGTATGTACAGTTGCATTCTGTGTGTACCCCATGTTTTCTCTATCATTCATCTGTTGATGAATAGCTAGGCTGATTCCCTGGCATGGAGAGAACTGAGCGAGGACTTTGTTTTATGTTCAGTCATATCTTTTTTTAGTACCTGAAGTGCCAGGCAGAGAGAACCTCAAGAATACTTGCTAATGGTCAAACCAGCCACCAGAGAGAAATTCAGCACATAGGGATGTGAAGAAAATGTCATTTGTGATGGAATGCAGTGCTGGTAGAACAAAGTCCATGATAATATCATCTGAGTTTATGTCGGAATCCTGTGTCCTTGTTCTTGGGCTGGTGTCTGTTTGCTGGCAAGTGTCAGAACTCATATATGATTTCCTCAGGTACAACTTGCCTGAAAGGCATAGGAAGTATGGTCAGCTCTCATCCTCAGTGGAAACCCACATGAAGACAGGCCTGCAGACAGAAAGATGACCATAGGCCATATGGATTGTCTTTAGAACGTCCTTAAGCATCATTTATGAATAGAATGTCTTCACTACTCTTGTATTCAAAACCAGTGAACTTTTCTATAAAGCATAGAGACTTTGGGGAGGGGGACAGTGGGAGGGGTCAGCTATTTGTGTGACTATGCTTTAAAACAGAAGGCAAAGGACAAAGGTTTTGCTCTTTATTCTGTCTCTTTGTGGTCAAGACCAAACAGCTGGAGTCTAGGAGTGCTTTGCTGAGGGTTGGCATGTATTATTAGCCTCAAATGATAGCAGCATTGGTACTCACCACGCGAGTTTATAAGTTTGCTAAAAGGCAATGAGTTGTTCTGACTGAGGTAGTTGCTGAGATGTCATTAGACACAGAATCAGTCCACGCTGCTTCTTAAAAGAATCACAGACCTTTGCAGTCACCTCCAGGCAGTGGTTGGACTCTAAGCTACTTTACAACGCAGTTATAAAGGTCATTTAAATAGCCACATTCAAATATTACTTTGCCACAAGACATAAAAGGACTTTCAATGTGTTGTTTGCTTCTGAGTCAGTCTTGTTATGTGGCCCAAGCTGGTCTCAAATTCATGATCATTTGCCCCAGCCTCTCAAGTGGCACCTGGCTAGGATATCAAAACTTTTGGATAGTTATATCTGACTGATACCCGGAGCCCACCCCAGTGGAGCCACTTTTGCTTCATAGAGAAGGAATTCTTGCCCAAGTGTCCTAGCTTCATTGCTGTTATTGTTATAAATAACTTGAGCCAAAGCCACCTGGGGGAGCTTACAGATCACGTTACAGTCCATCAAGGCAAGACTTGAAGGCAAGCCTGCCTGCTGTCCAATACAGCATACTTCCATTCCATGAGGGATGCTGTTTGTTGGCTCACACAGGCTCATGCTTACCTAGCTTTCCTATACAACCCAGAATCACCTTCCCTGGGAATGGTGCTGCCCATAGAAGGCTAGGGCACTCCTATAGAAATTGGCAATAAACCATAACAGTCCCTAGTCAGACATAGACCAATCTGGTTTAGGCAGTTACTCAAGTGGACACTTAAAGCCAACCAGGACACCAAGTGAAAGGTAAACTTCGTGACTCCTCAATCTAAGTCTTTTCCAAAATGCCATTTACTCAGCTCTTCTGCTTCCTGAAAGAGGTATCAGGCTACTGCCCTTTCTGCTGATGATATTTCTCCGCTAGTTTGTCTGGGATGCGTGTTGATTTTGTGGTACCAGGGATGGAACCCAGGCTTACCACTGTGTCATGCCCCCACTGCTTAGTGTTCTGAGACAGGCAGCATCTTGATGTGTATAGACCAGGATGCTCTTGCACTCACCATCCTCCTGCCTCGCTTCCTGAGGAATGACTCTCTAACATGAGTAATATGCTTGGCTTCCCACAAAGACTTTTTGAGTGACTATTATAAAACACTTGGGGTTGTATGTTAAGGTGCCGTAGCCACTAACACTGAACTCCAGGAGGGGGAAATGATATGCATGTAAAGATGCTTTGTATCTACATACCTGTGTGTGTTGCCCTGACTCATACTCTGGCAAAATTCATATAGAACGCATGTCTGGCTTGTGCAGTGTGAGCCTAAGAGCTTCCTTAGCGATCAGTCTCGTTGTGCGGATTAGCTCTCATCACATCTAGGACTGTGCAGACATTATGCAGATTTTTCTGTAGAAAACACAGAAAATGAGTATTTAAGATTTGCGATTCACGAAACTCTGCCAACATTGGCTCACTATACGTAAAACTTCAGTCATGTTTACATTGTCTGTGTGTATGAATTTCTCTTGCAGGCTGTTCCGTACTCCAGAGAATTTAAGCAGAAATATGACTACTTTAGGAAGAAATTAAAGAAACCTGTGAGTAATCAGCTCTTCCTAAAGCTGTTTGAGTCTGTTTCCGTCACCGGTTGCCTCTCTGAGAACAGCCTGTTTGTGACTTGTATATGTGCACTTCCTCTTTTCACTGACGTCTGGTCCACCCAGATCATCAGTCTGAATTTTCTTTTTTAACAGAAATGGTAAGTGGAGATTAACTCAGGAATACATACCAAATCACCTGAGGGGTGATTTCTTACATGATACATTTTAGTCATATTCTTATGGAATAAAAAATAACTCAAGACCAAAGTCAAGAAATCTGGGGAGGCCACAGCAAGTTAACATTTCTTTATATTTGGAGGTGGGATTTTAACCATATAGCATGCATCTTTTAACATGTTTACAACATATAATACTTCATAGTGTTGAGCCCTAGAGTGGTTCTGATTATCATCATTATTTCTGTTGTTGTTGTTGTTATTACTAACAGTTTGCAGCCAAGAGGCCCTGGGAGGTTTTTACAGGCAGTGCTGAGTCACTGCTGTGTTTACCATTGGCGTGCCTCCCCACCCCCAACCTTACGTCTCTGTGCTTATTACCTCCCTGGTATGGATCTCAGTTTTGCCCTCAGTTGGCTCAGAAACTTGACGCCTCTGGGCAAGGAGAGTGTGAGCCCCAGCATAACTCCTCCTGGCTTGAGGCTGCCCGCCCCTCTCTGCTCCCTCCCAGTTGCTGATCTCCTTCTGAGCATTGACCTGTGGTAAAGAGGTACCAACAGCCTCTGCTGTCACTCAGAATCCTCCTCCCCACGGCTGTGCCTCGAGATCTTCATTCATTTATAACTGGAGACTCTTTGCCCTCGAAGCTTGCACTGGAGCAGGCAGCGGTGCTTCTTTGTGAGTCATCCGCGTCTTCCAGTGACGAGCAGCTCCGCGGCTGATGCCCATCTAGGGCAAGGCCAACCCGGACCTCATCCTTCCAGGAGGCCATCTCTACCCCTCACCCCAAGTGCTGGGTCACACTCAGTCAACTTTGGGTTCAGGGATGTTTCGCCCAAACTTAGCAGGATGAGGATCCCACCCCCCACGGCAGCACTGTGAACGTGCAGGCATCACGGGCCACACATCCCAGCTGTAGTCCCTACCAAAGATGAGACTGATTCAAGCTTGCCTAGAGCTGGAATCAAACTTCAAAGGTTTGATTACCTGGGAAAGAGTCTTTCTTTCTCTCTTTGATTGAACCAACATTCCAAGATGCCTGTAGAAGAAGTACCCATGCCTTACATAATGGCAAGGACGAGTTTCTGGACTCAGCTGATGCTCTCCTGAAGAGACGTGGGCGACTCGGCCTGAGCAGCTCTTTATGGATGCTTCCATGTGTCCCATCTTGGCTGCGAGGTTCTCCGTAAAGGAGACTCTCAGTGGAGTAGAAAGGGTAGAAACAGTGCAGGCTGCCCACTGTTTCCACCCTTAGGCTATTTTCCTATAAGGCAGGGCTCGGTGTGTACAGGTGTCGGGGGGTGCTGTATGATCATGGTCTTCTCTTTTCGTCTTTCCTCTAGGCTGATATTCCAAACAGGTTTGAAATGAAACTTCACAGAAACAACATATTTGAAGAGTCCTACCGGAGGATCATGTCTGTGAAGAGACCTGATGTCCTGAAGGCTAGACTGTGGATTGAGTTTGAGTCCGAGAAAGGCCTGGACTATGGGGGCGTAGCCAGAGAATGGTTCTTCCTGCTGTCCAAAGAGATGTTCAACCCCTACTACGGCCTCTTTGAGTACTCTGCCACGTAAGTACATGGACGTTGACAGCGTGTGGCCCCCCCTGCAGCTGGTCTGGCGTCCTTCTTTAGGAAACCATAGTTAAAACACAAGTAATACCCATTTGAGATTTCAGCTCCTCCATTCCCTGACCCCCTTACAAGTCTAAAAACAAGCTTCTGATCCAGCATGGTGAAGTACTGTATGCCACGAACACCTGAAAGTGTACAGTTTGTCGGTTTGGCTCGCAGAATTGAAACTGAAAATATATTGTGGTATATATACGTAATTAATGGAGGGAGCAGGGAAATTTTCACCTGAGACGCCATTCTGATTTAAGGGAAGGGTTATTAGTGTCCGAATTCAGAGTCATGTGAACCAGAATTGTTTCTGAAATCATGCTATGTAAAAGACAAGTGATGAGTGTTTTTGAAGACCCATGCTTGGGATACAAAGGACAATACATAAAAGAACAAGGCTGCGCCTTACAAGGATTTCATCATTGCCCAGCAAGGGAACTGAGGCAGATTAAATTGTTTTTGTTGTTGTTGTTGTTTTGTTTTGTTTTGTTTTTTAAGCAAACATTAGGCTCCTTTTTCGTATAGACTGGGAATGGTCAAGAGCTTGAGGCTGATCTTGAACTCCCAATAGATTAGTTGATCTTGGCTAAAACCAAAAACAGACAGATATTTACTTAGCATTGTTCCAGTGTGGACTGCAGTCGGCTTCTTCTTCATCTTCCTCCTGGTACCTGTATCATAGGGCCCATTTGGAAGACTGTTCCAGGACAGTCAGTTGATGTGCCAGAAATTGCATTGGTTAGTAGAAGTTCTTAGTGAGGCTTCTGAGAGAGTCCACTGCTAACACCACTGAAGTTAAAAGTAGAGTAGGAGCCGGTCGCTATATCTCCAAGATACTTCCTAGAAAAATCAGTCTGTGCTGCCGAGGTGAACGCCCCTTGTCCTCATGATTGTAAGACCAGCGGGACCACCGAGTGTGCCCTGGGGTTTGCGTTGTTGAGATGGCCATGTTCTTCTCCCCAGGCTCTTGAGATCAGGTAAACCGAGTGTTGGACCTGTAGGGAACATTCCCAAGTCAAAAGCCTCTCAGAGGAATTAACTTTCTTTGGTCACAGAAACCATCTCAGAACTTGTGTCCTTGAGGATGTCTGCATACCCTTTTACACTGTGCGCGTTCTCATCTTCTCAAGCTCTCTGGTTGACTCACTTGTGGTTGACATTGTGTATGTGTCTGTCTGTATGTACGTGTTCATGTGTGGAAGTACACAAGCACTTGTGTACACGTGTGTATGAGGACCAAAGGACAACCACGGGTACCCTCACCTTGTGTTCTAAGACAGTCTCTCACTGGCCTGGAACTTGCCAAGTAGCTAGGCAGCCAGAAAGCCCCCAGGGATCCATCTGTTTCAGCTTCCTCAGACCTGGGATTACAAGTGTGAGTCACCACCACAGCACCCAGCTCTTTAAAATGGTGTTCTAGGGGTCAAACTGAAAGCCTTCATGTTTGCAGGGCAAGTACTTTATGACTGAGCTATCACCCCGGAAACTGACATTTCTACAGACAGAAATTAGCAACTGCCAGCAGTTTCCATATGTCACCTGCTCCAGTATCCTGTAACTTGTCAGTGACAGAAACAGGGGCTTACCTGATGGGTTGAATCCACTAGTTCATATCCGTTGCCATGAAGTCCCCAAGGTTGCAAGTAGTGGCGTGATGTGAGGCAAAGGAAAAGTTCAGCCTCTTGCATTTCTTTCATTCTAAGTGTGATTGGACTTTCCTCTTTCCCTCCCCAAAGTGACAACTACACACTCCAGATCAATCCCAACTCCGGCCTCTGTAACGAAGACCACCTGTCCTACTTCACATTCATTGGAAGAGTCGCTGGCTTGGCGGTGTTTCACGGGAAACTCTTAGACGGTAAGTTACTCCAGAACCTTGTGGTAAGAAAGGAAAGGCAGCCCTGTTTCTAGGGCTACCATCAGGGTCTCGGCCCATGTGTAGATAACAAGTGAAGGCATCACTGGTTCTCTGTAGCTGATTATTTTTTTTCCTTCCTGGAGTTTGAACCCGGAACCCTACACGTTCCCTGAGAGCCCCAGTGTACATGTGTTATTTTGCCGTTTTCCTGTAACACTGACACAGTCTTGGGCACTGAAGACAAAGCGTCCGCCTATACTTACTTTTTAGCTGTTCAGAGTGACGCGTAAGTCGTTCCACGTGTTTCTTTCAGGACACCTTTCCTCTAGTGAGAGAGAGCGAGACTCAGCGACAGATGGAAGAGTTAATTGAAAAGTTAATTAAAATGATCTAATCCGTCAGCAGCCTGCTATTGCTCCGTTTGGCCCCAGATCCGTTTTTAATGATTTCAGAGTAATATGATTACTCAGCTACGCCCTCAGCCCTAGAGTGTCTTCTGAGGTAGACAGAACAAATTAGCTGTGTCCCTTCTTGAGAGCAACTAGAGAACTCCAGAGTATGGGAAGGCCTCAAACCTGCATGTGTACCAAAGCCTGTCGTACACATTTTTTTACGGACTTGGCAGTTTCAAAAGTAGTGCCCTTACATAAGAGAACACTACAGAAATCATTAGTGAGGAAAAAAAAAAAATCACTAGAAAACAATTTTGTAAGACTTAGGGGTAAAATGGCCGAAGACAACATTTCAGTTACCGAAGAAAGGACTAATTTGCAAGGGAATTTGGCTAATTGCCTTTGTGGAGCTTGAGCTGTTCTGGTAAATAATTGATGGACCCTCCAAGCTTTTCTTTTAATATACTTGTATCACTAATGGCTAGCTAATTGTGATGATCAATATTTTATTTTGCCGAGGGGTGGTGGACGCTGTTTCTGACTTTATCTGTCCCTGTATGCGTAAGGTGCATGCTGCTTTTTGATTCACTGTTCAGGTGCCTGTGTAAAACTGGTGCTTGTTTCTGATTTCCTCTTCCTGTATGTATACAGTAAGCGCTTCTTTCTGACCCTGTCCATGTGTGTATGTATACAAGTAAGCGCTTCTTTCTGACGCTGTCCGTGTGTGTATGTATACAGTAAGCGCTTCTTTCTGACCCTGTCCACGTGTGTCTGTATACAGTAAGCGCTTCTTTCTGACTCTGTCCATTACATGCTGCAGCTCATTTTTCACTTCAGGTTCCTCCTTCTCTTATGTAAGCCTGCTCATCCCCTTCTACGTGCTGAAAGTGTCAGCTCATTCATCTTCCATCAAGCAAGAAGACATCGTTAGTTGCTTTGGGGGAATATAGATATGTGTAGACTGTGGTCCTGACCCCAGTGACCTCATATTTAATGGAGAAAAAGAAAGAGGAGTAGAATTACAAAAAAAAAGAAAGAAAAGCAGACAGACAGCAATGATGGCGTCCCTGCTGCAGGGACACAAGAGTTAGTCTCCCTGGCTGGGCAGGAGGAGGCACAGACGCATTTCACCTCGGGGCTGAGTGTCACAAGCCTCACAAGCTAGGTTCATTTCAGAGGCACCTGGGCTGGCCGGCACTCAGCCCCACAGAGGGAAGATGGAGCAAGGCTAGGGTAGATGGGGACCTGGGTGACTGAGGTAGTTCCCACAAAGGGGATCACATGTGTCAGGAAGCAAGCCACAGGTCTTCAGTTCCTTTAGGGCACAGGAATGGCCTGCTGGCAAAGCACACTCACCCTCCACTGCCCCACCCCTGTCAGCATCATGCTTTTTGCCTCACTGAAGTGTGCCATCTGTGGCCCTGGTGCTACACTAAGCCAAAATGAAGATGGCCGTAGAGGCCTGGGGCCACATCTGGAGACAAATGCAGCCTTCCTGTGGACAGGCTCCTAGGAATCTATCTCCCTGATGGGGTAGCCTTCTCAGCCATGGCCTCCCCATGCCCTTGGCAGCCTGTGTGGACAGTTGCACAAGCCTGCACAGGGCCTCTGTCAACACCAGTGTCCAGGAAGTGGCACTGAAAGGCAGGTGGAACTTGCCTGGCTTTGTTGACTCAGCACTGACCTAAGAGAAGTCCTCCTCTGGCCAGCCTCCCTGAGACACCATGCTTGCATAACGGCCCTCTCCTGACACCAGTTCTTCTCAGAAGTCTTTTATCACACACTCCTGCTTGGCCCAGGGCTTGGGTGGTGCTACCTGGAAGCCATTTTCATCTGCTGCTAACTCAGAACAGAAATCTCCCTCCCTCCACACCACTGCTTCCTCAACCTTCCTTCCCAGTGTTATGTCTGCTGCCATAGAACATCCTCACAAAAAGCAACTTGGCGGCGGGGAAAGGGGCCTTATTCAGCTAGCTTATAGTTCCAGGTTACTGTCTGTCATTTGGAGAAGTCAAGGCAGAGACTCAAGCATCTGGTCACATTACCTGCACAGATAAGAACATGGGGAGAATAAACACATTCTTCTCTCCAGCGTGATCAGGTCACCTTCCTAGGGGGTGATGCCTCATGTAATGGGCTAGATAGTCCTACAGCAACCAGCAATTGAAACAGTCACAGATATGCCCACAGGCTAAACTGATGTAGCTAACTCTTCATTGAGACTGTCTTCCTGGGCTACTCCAGATCATCTCAGGTTAGCAGTTAAACCTGTCTGGTATTTCCTCCTCACTTGCTCCTGGATTACTATAAAAGGTTCTTGATCTTCAGTCATGACCTCCCGTTCATGGGGAAAGCAGTTTATTCTTTGATTTCATTTGCCGGCGCATAGCGGTGTCGAGGACTTAAAGCTTAACTAGGTTTTTGCCGCATTTCAGGATTCTTCATCCGACCATTCTACAAGATGATGTTGGGGAAGCAGATAACCCTGAACGACATGGAGTCCGTGGTGAGTACAGGCGGTGTCACGTAGCCGCCACTGGCCGTCCTCACCATGTGGGCGGATGTCAGGAACCGTATTTGCAGTCACAGCAGCTGTTAGAGGCACAGCCACCCCGAGTGAACAAGAGAGAGGAATTGCTCGCTTGAAAGTTAATTGATCCTCCTCGTTTCTATAATAAGCAAATTAGGGTTGGTTTCCGAAAAGCACGGTGCTTACGGTTGGGTACGCCCAAGTCTCAGCCCCCACTGCATAACCAGCTGAGACCTCATGAGCACATCAAGTTCGAGGGGTGCCTGAAACCCCGTTGTGGCCTTGGTCTCCATCTGCAATGGGAAAAGATCCCACCTTCTGTTTTCTGCCGTCAGAAAAGTGGTGGTGGTGAGGCCAAAACGGTAATCACCTAGACGTGGTCATCTCGACACGAAGGAATAATTGACAACTCCAGAATGGGAAAGTGAGGCTTGCCTTGTTAGGACCTCCAGTGGGTGGTGCTCACAGGGTGCAGGGCCCTCTACTTAGCTGGACTGGCCATCCTTGGACAGGAAAGATGGCCTACAAAACAAAACGTGCCCTTCTTTTCCGAGTACACTTCCGTGTCTAGCTTTCTCTGCTTACCTATCCTCTGCAAATCCCCTGCATTTTTGTCCTCATGGAGGAATTACAGCTCTGCTCTCATGCGGTCACCTGAGTTAGAAAGCTGTGCATCCCTCGGCCTCCGTGGCACATGGCCTGTGCCTTGGGCAGAGTTGAGGTTGTGACTAAGGCCCATGAGACCAGCCAGCATTCACCCTGTGCTTCCGCTCATCCCCGCTGGAGAGGAGAGGCGACTGTTGTGCTCTGGGCCTCTGTGACGTGTGCAGACCCGCTGGCATCTGTTGTCTTAGTTCAGTCGCACTTTCCCCTCCAGCTTCCCCTTTGTCAATGCTCTCTGCTTCCGTTGTACTCTCCTGAGGAGGCTAAAAGAACAGAAATTGCTTCTGTCCCTTCTCCCCGTAGAGGAAGGAGATTGGGATAGGGAATCACTATGTAGTCTAGCTTGGCTTTGAACACACAGCCCTCCTGCCTCTACTTCAAGTTCTGGGATTATAGGTGTGCAACACTGGCTGCTCTAGAAATCGCTCTTACGGCCTAAGTCTGTGGTTTCCATTGGCCGCTTGTATTTGGGGGGAGGTGTTGTTTATTTTATCATTTTAATTAGCGTATATTGGGAGAGTGAAGCATGCAAATGAGCTGTCATCCACAGAGGCCAGAGGCATCAGATTTCCCCCTGGAGCGGGAGTTACAGGTGCTTGTGAGCGACTCCCATGGGTGCTGGGACCATACTCGGCTCTGCCCATGAGCAGTACACACTCTTAACCGCTGAGCCCTCCCTCTCTTCAGCCTCAGCCATCAGTCTTCTAAATGTGATCTGCATATTATCTTTGGTCTGTTCTGAGCCTGTCATGTTCCCAGCAACAGAGACTCTGGGCCATGAGCAGAGGGGCCCTGGTGATCTCTTCAGCTACTATTTTCTGAAACACGGCCCTGCTTTTTGCTTAAATTAATAGCCAAAGTACACTGAGGAAACAGGGAAGGACAGAATGCAAGATGTGTGCTGTTTACTTAGAGCCCCGTCCTGCCTGTTCTCCAGGCATGCTGTTGCCACAGTGTAGCTAGGCTATGCTCCCAGCTCCTGGAGGCTGAGTCTGGAAGCTGGGCCCACTGTGGGCCAGACAAGACAGCCTGAGCAGTCCAGCTGTTCTAACTGCCCTTGTAAGCAGGTGGCCTTAGCCATAGAGAACAGGGGGCAGTACAAACACTGTCACTGCCCAGGAGGTCTTGTGTTTTAAATTCGTGGGAAGATGGGACTAGAGAGAGGACTCAGGGGTTAAGCGTGTGTGTTGCTCTTGCAGAGGACCAGAATGAGGTTCCTAGCCTGGCCAAAAGCCAGCAATAGCCAACGATAGCTCCAGAAGATCTGACTTCCTCTTCTGGCTTCCACGGTACCTGAACACATGTCCACAAACACATAGACGTAAAATAAATCTGTTAAGTAAATAAGTGGAAAGTGCTTTTGGTAGAGCGGGCTCGCTGATGCTAAACAGCATCACCGTTAGGTGTGGTGCATGGCGTTACAGGAACACAAGATTGTTGGTAAAGGAGCCAGACGGGTTTGGGCTTTGAAAAGGAGTGCTCACTTTTCCTCTCCGTGTTTTTCCTGCAGGACAGCGAATACTACAACTCCTTGAAATGGATCTTAGAAAACGACCCCACGGAACTTGACCTCATGTTCTGCATAGATGAAGAGAACTTTGGGCAGGTATGTGGGCCCGGCTCCTCTGCTCTTCAGTAGCATTTCCTTTGCTGTGGGCTGCAGCACAGCACAGCCAGGCAGAAACAGCCGATCATTAGCATCAACTTGAGCAGCATCTGACTGGCCTGCCAGCTCACCAAGTTCTTCATCACAGCCCTTTCTGTTTTCCCTGCAGAGCTAGTCCATCTAAACGATGCTGGGGTCTCAACTGGCACCCCTAATCCTACAAGGCAGCCAGGCATGTTTAACTTGCTTTCAGAATGGAGGTTCTTCACAGAAAGCAGTGCCATGGTTCACTTTAGCAGGGTCAGCATATGGTCAGGAATGGGTGACGCTGGGACCTTTCCCTCTGCTTTGTGGCTCTATTGGTAGGGCAATGTGGCTCTTGCTGGCTCAGTTTGAGTTCGTGTGTGTGTGTGTGTGTGTGTGTGTGGTTTCTTTGGGGGAAGGTTGTTTTTGTTTCTTGGGGTTTTTTGTTTGTTTGTTTGTTTGTTTTTGCTTCTGTTTTTTCTGTTCTCTCCCACATCATCAGTGTGGATTCATCATAAAAGTTACTTCCAGAGTGGAAGGAAGTCAGCTGGCTGGGATTTTTGTCATTACTCTCAGGGTCTAAGGCTGTGTTCATCATAAATGGGGAAACGTGGGTTTGGTTGTCCCCTAGTGACGGTATTTTCTGGGAGGTGTCTTCAAGGTGGTGCATGTCAACACAAAAGCTCAGAGATGATTCCAGGCTCCGCAGGGCCTCGGGATGGACTGAGTAGAGCCCGCTATAAGGACTGCCTTGTAGAAATAGACTTGATCTGCATTGCTTGAGGGCCTATCGAGTGTGTTCTCCACCAATGAGACACATGTCTGTGGCTAAGACGGAGAGGTAAAGCTCCCTGGCCTCCCAGGTTAGAGAAATCTTAGAGGACCCCGGAGAGAAGACATGGTTGCATCGAGATGGGAAGGGATGAGTGGAATGGGGGGAGGGAGGATTACAGATTGAGGCCTACATCATGTGACTGTCCGAGCTACTGTTTTACCCTCATTCTATGTGCTGGAGCAGGGGGCCAGCCCTGAGCACTGCCAGTGGGAAAACCGGGAAGGGTCTGTATTGTCCTTCCCAGTGCCAGGGAGGGTCACAGGAGGATGTCCAGCCCCAGAGAGAAGGAACCTTGCGACTTTTATTTAAATGCCTCATGAGCAATCCCCAGCCCTCTGCTCACACTGTGTGTATGTGTCACACCTAAGAACCCCACAGGCAATGCCCTCTGATCCCGAATGGGGACCTTGTCACAGGGCAGGGAGGGGGCAAGTCTTGGGCCTCCACCCAGCTGCAGTTCCCTCTTCTCAGGTGACCGTGGTTTGTGTCAAGCTGACAAAAACTAAATAGCACACAGAACTTACAAGACTTTTAAGAAACAAGGAGAGAAAGAATTTTTTTCAACTGCAAAGGTTTTGCCACAAGCCCTTACTGAGTTCCCTCCACACGCCAGGCACTGTTAGTGGTCTGCATAGTAGATTCTCTCAAACCCCAAGAACAGAGAAGTAGCCCAACTCAAAGAGGTAGCCGTGGCACCAACGTCACGGATCCGTGTTGTTGGACTGTGGAAGTGCTCTAAACTATGTCCCTGGTGGCTAACAGCACAAGTGAAATGGGAAGGAGGGTGGCAATGGCCCCATTAACTAAGAAGCTGCTGCTAGGATCTGGAGGCTCAAGGTGGGCGACAGTAAATACCTTCCTCTGCCTGCTGTGTGTACTGCCTCTGCCACCTGACAGAGGATCCAGCCGGCAGAATCACCCATGCCCCACCTTACTGCAGCGGCCTCGTTATTTAACGTGGATAGTCTAGTCCCTTTCTTTCTTTCAAAAACAATTCTTTTAGTTGATTCATAATAAAAATGAAGCCAGTATAATAAAAACATACAAAAATATGTGACTCAGATGATTCCACCATCTCAAGAAAAATTATGATGAAAAATTTGCTCTTGTATCTGCCTGAATTACTCTATGCAAGCACACAGATACAGGTTTGCTTATGTTTGTCTGTGGAAGTAGAATTAGATAGAGTACAAAAGCCTTCCTATGACAGTAAATATTCTGTGCTGTTTTAATGACTACAATGAATGTCATCTTATAGATGTACTGTATATCTTATCTTTGCCCTCTTGGTGGTTATATACTCTAAAACTGACATTCCTGGCTTATATAGCATCTCTCCAGGGGAGATGATACTGGACAGGGAAAGAGAGAGAGAGTTGTATATGTCATTATATACATATTTTTTTCTTACTCAAAAGTCAGTGTAATTAAAAACATACTATATGTATATATGTATATATACATATATATGTATATATATATATTTCTTAACCAAAAGAGAAAATAGGTATAGATCCCAGGGACCCACATAATGGAAGGAGAATTATCCGCTGACCTATTATAAAAAAATAACAAATGATCTCTGGCTGGCTTCTTAAGCAAGTGTTTGTCTTTCCATCCTTCCTTTTCTTCTTAGTTTTTGTTGATGATGATGTTTGATTAGTTGAGTTTTGTTTGTTCTTTTTTTTTTTTTTTTACGTCCCTGTATTTCTGCCTCTTGAAAGAAATTCTATGCATACGTCTTTATGCAACTTGATTTCTAGTAACAAACAGAATGCTGTAATTTGTACTGTTGGACTTGATAGTTGATTTGAATTTAGATCTCTGTGGGCTTGATGGATGTACTCTAGCATTTATTGTTTTCTCCTTGAGCATAATTTCTTTTGGTTTTTCAAGCCAGGGTTTCTTTTTGTAGCCTTGGAACTCACAGGCTGGCCTCAAACTCCGAGATCTGCCTCTGCCTCCCAAGTGCTGGGATTACAGGCATACGCTACGACTGCTCAGCTCATAACTATCATCTTTACAAATGAACAGCAAATGAAAATGGGCCTCTTCTTCATTGTCGCTAATGTATAAATAATAATTAAAACTCATAAATAACCATCAAACAATTTGCCCTAATGATAACATCTTTAAATGCATACGGTCTTGAAATAGTTTTAGAAGGTTCGTTAGATCCTCCCCTCTACACAGAGCCTACTGCTGGAAAATATTTTTGAATGAACTTCCCTTCTCTTCCTTTTTACAGTAAGATGTGACTGAATAATAATTCAAATAACTTTACGTTTTTATTGGCTTTTTCCTCCATAATCACAGACATATCAAGTGGATCTGAAGCCCAACGGGTCAGAAATAATGGTAACGAATGAGAACAAAAGAGAATATATTGAGTACGTATTCACGTTCATTGCATTTTCTTTGTGTGCATGTGGTGTGTGCGTTCTTTTGTGTCTGCGTGCAAGGGGGTACAGAAGACGGTGTCATGTCTTCCTCTGTCACTGTTAATCCTTCGTTGTTGTTGAGATGAAGTTGTCACCGGACCTAGAGCTCACGGATTCAGCTGGGCAGCCTGGCCAGCGTGCTCCACGGATGTGCTGCCTCCACCTCCGAGCAGAAGGGGCACACCCCATGCCTGACTTTTTGTTTGTTGTTGTTTTGTTTTGTTTCATGAGTGTTGGGGACCAGAAGTCAGCTTGTTAGGGTTGCACCGCAAGCACTTAAGCAACTGAGCCATCTCTTAGCCCTGGGACTTTCACTTTTAATAACCCAAATGGCTTACTTGGTTGTTGTCCCTTCCCAAAACTGCCCATGCATACTGCAGATGTGAACTTAATGTCGTTTTCTGTTTTAGAGACAGGGTCTCTCTAGTATGTAGCTCTGACTGTCCTGGAACTCAACTCTATAGTCCAGGCTGGCCTCAAACTCATAAGAGATCTACCTGCCTCTGCCTCCCTGAGTGCTGGGAGTAAGCCACACCTGGCCTCTCAGTTTAAACAATAGCAGTTCCTTTTTTGGCTTGGCCTCAGAGACAGTGGAATGTGGGTAGGAAATCCGCCTTCTCTCAGTGAACTACTCCCAGAGGATTGCAGCATGAAGAAAGGGTATACATTATAGTAATGCAGCAGATCCTCTTCAGGGATGGATTTCTTGCCTGAAATTCACAACTGCAGCCAGGAGAATGTCAGATACTAATAGGGTAGAACTAACTCGTTTTACATACTGGAAACTGAGGGAAATATTGCAAACATGGTGAGTTGTTCTGATAGTTGGTATCTATCAGCCCAATCTCAGCCTCATTTTGTGGAACAATTTGTTGGTATCCTTCCTGAAGTTTTGCTCCTGGGTAACCCAAGTTGTTCAGTGGGCTTAAATTCAGAGGGTAGGCCAGGGTCTTTTATTTTAGTGTGATGTAAAGAAGAGTTGCTACCAGGGAGAAATGGAGAGCCTTGTGGGCTTTACTTAGGAGATCCTGATGAAGCATCCAGAATGTGTAGGGATCGGGGTTTGGTTTGGTTTTTGTCACTTTCCATAAAAGTTCATGACACTTAAATAAGCTAGAAGTAGGATACTTGTCTGTGCAAACTAACTGGTTGACTGGCCTTGACCATGGCTTTGATACCTGACAGACACCACCAGCCTCCTTTGTAAAAGCCCCAATATTAAAGGCTTTTTTTCCCCTAAAAAAACTATCCATCCCAGGATAGCTGAAGCCTACACACGCTGACATATGTCATGAGGGCCAAGGGGAGACAGGGTCTCTACTGGGTAGGACTGAAATCTCACCCTGCTCACTGGCGCCCTCAGTTTTCTGGTACCAAAAGACAGCTGCTGGGCGGCGGGCGGATTGCAGCCAGCCCTGCGGTACAGGCCCAGCTGAGCGCCTTGTGTGCTGCAGCCTGCTCCTTGAAGATGAGGGCAGGCCACGCACTGCTCACACTGTCTCAGGGACAGTTCAGGGACTTTCAGGTTCTACCATTGGTCTCTAAACTTTAGTGTTAACAAGTATTAGTATGGACCAGACATGGTAGCACACACCTTCAGCCTCAACACTGGAGAGGCAGACCTTGTCTCAAAATTTTTTTTCTTAATATGTGCTTTGATAATATACTCTTAACAAACACATGTTCATATTTACACAGACATGTGAATGGGTAGGTACATGTGATCACATCCTGTGACTTTTTATTAACAGATCTTTAAATGTTTATTCTTTATGTGTATGGGATTTTGTCTGAATGTATGTCTGTGTGGCTGGTGTCCTTGGAGGCAAGAAGAAAATGTCAGATCCCATGAGACTAGAGTTACACACATTTGTGAGCTGCCTTGTGGGTGCTGGAAATCAGACCCAGGTTCCCTGGAAGAGCAGCCAGTATTCTGAACTGCTAACCCGCTGAGGCTTAATGTAGGCCAGGAGACCAGCTGCGCTCTTGACGACCTCAGATAGAGTGTGGAGATCTCAGGGACGCTCAGGTGCTTCTTAAGGGATTCGCAGCAGGTGTACCAGAGCAAGCCCCACCCACCCTGCCCTGATGTTTGGGATTCTCTCATTACCCTGACAAAGGAGCAGCAGGTCCAGGTATGAAGACAGCAATGGCTGTCGGGTGACTTTTTTTCTCTCTCTCTCTCTCTCTCACACAGTTTAGTAATCCAGTGGAGATTTGTGAACAGGGTCCAGAAGCAAATGAATGCCTTCTTGGAGGTAAGCACCGATGACGGAGTCAGGATGGGGACAGTGCAAAAGGCCAGTACAGCCAGCTCACCCTGTTGGCCATTTCCCGAGGTGGGAATGTTCCATGTGCCTTTTTTTTTTTTTTTTAAGATTTATTTATTTTATTATGTATGCAGTATTCTGCCTGCAGGCCGAAAGAGGACGCCAGATCTCATTATAGATGGTTGTGAGCCACCATGTGGTGGCTGGGAATTGAACTCAGGACCTCTGGTAGAGCAAGCAGTGCTCTTAACCTCTGAGCCATCTCTCCAGTCCCTACACCAACCTTTTTTTTTTTTTTTTAAGTTTTTGTTGTTGTTGTTGTTGTTGCCTTTTCTCTGTTTTTAATTTGTTCTAGTTGTGTTGTTGCTTGCTTGCTTGCTTGCTTGCGACAAAGCTTATGTGGCACACGCTGCCATGGAACTGAGGGCAATCCTGCCTTAGCCTCCTGGGGGCTTAGGATTGTACCGACTGTCCTCCACCTATATTTGTTTGTTTTCAATTAATTTATGTGTGTGCGCACACAGGCATGCAAATGCATGTGAAGATCAGAGGACAACTCTACAGAGTTGGTTGTCTGCCAGGGGTGAAATTTATACCCTCAGGCTTGGTAGCCAGCACACTGACTGGCTAAGCCTTCTCACCACCAGACCTTTCTCATACCTGCTCTAGAGCCGTTATCTTGAAGTCTAGCAGAACTGCTAGTGATAGTGTCTGCTGCTGTGCTTCCAAAGAGTTCCCTCTCATTCAGACCCTACCCAACCCAGCATGCTAATCTTCCCTCTGTGACCCTGAACTTCCCACAGATTCTCCCCTTTTCCTGCTCTGGGCTTTTATGTTATATCCAGTCAGCAGCTTTCTCCCTGTGATGAAATGAAGGCACCACTTCTCTCATGCATAGTCTACCACCAGGATGTTCCCCAGCCACTTCTGGTGGTGGGGTTTGTTTTGTTTTTCTAAACCATAAAAAGTGTTACATGTTGGTCAAAGTAAATTTAAATATATATATATATTAGTTATTTAAAAGCAACCAGGGGGGCTGGTGAGATGGCTCAGGGAGTAAAGGCATTTGGTGAGGTGGTTAAACCTCAATTCAGGCCCCCAGTGCCGCTGGTAGGAGAGACCTAACTCTTGCCGATTGTCCTCTTCCTCCACCCAAATGCATGTGTGCATACAATAAATAAATAAATAAATTCTTAAAGGAAAAGCCCAAACCCTCTGGGAGTCATTTCCAGACAGTTCCTCTTAAACTCAGTGGCCTGTAACACCATGAAGCTAGCCCTCCTGAGCAGGAGATGCACGTGCCAGGGCCTATCACATGTAAGCTGTGAGGGTGAACTCGGCTATGCACGTTTTGCACTGTATTTAAGGAAGAATTCCCAGGAAACAGAGTCCCAGCCCTGCCCAGCTTTCAGGAACCCCAATGTTAATAGTCTCTTCCTGGGTCACCCCTAATGACGGCAGCCCAGATCCAGAGCCTGGCCCGCTTGCCTCTTGTCAGTTCATACAGCCTCCTCCTCTCCTCCACCTGGGCCTTTCGGCGTGCTATTTTTAAATGTGCCTCTTGCACGTTTGTGGTCTGTGCAAATTAGGACACACTGACTCACAAAACTGTGGCATAAATTGCTTTTGTAATCCACCTGCCTACAGCTCCCCAGTATCACTGGGTGCTGGAGTCCTGGAAGCTTCTAGACTGGGTGTTTTCAGGCTCCTGTACATGACTTGCTTTTATTGGAATTACAGTCACCTGACACTGTCGCCCCCAGCATGAGCCAGCAGTAAAGAGTGAGCTTTATCTGGCTAACCGCAACCTTATTTTATCCAGGAAATTGTTCTTTTTAAAAGAAAGGGTGCTTACAGTGTTTCTACCTTTTCCTTTCAGGGGTTTACAGAACTTCTTCCAATCGATTTGATTAAAATTTTCGATGAAAACGAGCTGGAGGTTTGTCTTATCAATATCATCTTATTTTAAGTATCTCCTTATATTGCAAATGTCCTTTTTTTTTTCTTTTTTTTTAATTCTCTTGACACATGACATGCGGAAGTCTAGTGTGTACTCCGCAGCAGTAGCTGAGTAGATTTTTTGCCTCTGACGAGGCAGCTGTGGGCATTTTTAGTGAGCTGTACTGACTGGGTGTTCAGCTCAGTGCTCAGGCAAGGAGGACTGCGTGGAGGAGCCTGGTTCGCTGAAGCCCTCAAGGACAGTCATCTGCTCACAGCGTGCTTATATAACCAGGCTGACCCGATGTCCTCTGTTGCCTCCCAGGCTCCACCACGGCAGGTGGTTGAAGGACTTGGTCATGCTATAGTTGCAGGAGATGTGACCTTGAACTCAGAGTGGCCTGAGATGAATAGGGAACATTATCAGGAGGCCACCAGGTAGTAACAGAAGTGTGGATAATGGTTGTTCACCTCAGCTTCTCCGCTTTAGTGTAGGTGAAGGATTGAATACCCAAAAAGACATGTCTCACCTTGGGTTGTACCAAGACACAGAAGGAAGGAGGCTGCGTCTGCCCATAGCTGTTACCTCCAAGCCCATGTCCTACAAAGCAAGCCTCAGAGAACTTGAAGTGGAAGTTTCAAGCCACTGAGGCTGTAGGAAGGAAACAACCTACCAAGGTGATCCAGCCAGGCTTATCCCAGCCAGTAGCTTTCAGGGTTTGGAAATGGCTTTCTTCCTGTTTTAATTTAGTTCTTCCTTGGGAATGTCATATTCATTGGAAACTCTTATGATAAGAACAGTTAAATACTGATTTAGGGGACCTGAATCACCCAGTTCCTGCCTAGGTGCCCATAGTATGCTAGCTAGTGATGGGTCTCCTGCATTGACCCATCTGGGGGAGATGAGTTCAAATGTCTAGAGAAGGAATAGCCGGGATCCTGTGCATATGCTAATGGAGAACTCTGCAGCATTGCCCTTTAAAGATGACCAATGTTTTCCAGTATAAAATGTCATGGTCTTGCATGCTGGTCAGTTGAGAAATCCTCTCTCTCTGCCAGCTCTGTCGTGAGTGTCAGGGGAAGTTGAGCCCATGCATCTCATTCTGTGGCTCTCCTGGATGGCTGGCTTACCTGCTTTGTCCAGCGCAGAGACGAGAGCACTGTCCACTTGAATGCCCCACTTCATTTACATCTGATACATTCCTTACTAGTTGCTGATGTGCGGCCTCGGGGACGTGGACGTGAATGACTGGAGACAGCACTCTATTTACAAGAATGGCTATTGCCCCAACCACCCCGTCATCCAGTGGTTCTGGAAGGTAACTAAGCTCTCTGGGCCTGACCTCTGCTGCAGGCTCTTCCTCCCAGTCAGGGCAGAAGTCCTAGGCTGGGGCAATCAGACTGGGAGCACCTTTAGAAACTGGCGTTCTTCAACATGGTTTTTATTCCAGTAGCCATTTTGATTTTCATATCTTGCAACCCAAGATGCAAATTAAATTTGACTTACTGTCTTAGGGCCAATGTTTGTATTCTGTTGGACTCAGGAAAGCCTTGGGCAAAGACAGTAAACTAAACATTAAAAAATAGTAATAAAATCAGTTCATCCCTCAACAACAACAACAAAAAAAATTAAAATTAAAAGACTATTTCCATACAAAAAAAAAAAGAAAGAAAGAATCCCTATATGGTAGCATAAACCTAATTTTTTTTTTTTTAAGGAAGGGCTCACTATATAGTCCAGGCTAGCCTCAAAACAGAGGTTCACCTGCCTCTGACTCCAAGGTGCCTGAAATAAAGGTGTATGCCACTAAAACTAGTAGGTGATGACTTGCAGACAAAAGAAGAAGAAATAATAATCAACTAATGTGTTATTAATAATATATCAAGTGCCAGTAAAAATACAGAAAGAAGGAACCAGAATCTTCAAGGTCTAGACTTCAACTTAGATTGTGGATTGTATAATAGAAGATGAAATTGCATGCCTAGGAAGGCCAGTTCTGTTCCTGCAGTAGTTAGAATCCAGGAGACACACCAAGGTACACATTTTTGACTCTGGTTTCCTTCTGTTTGTAAAATGTCATTAGGGAACTTTCTCTGGCCCCATCTCATCAGCCGACTTCCCCTTGTCTGGAACACTGCCTGGTTAGAACCAGCTTCAGAAAGCCAGCCAGCCAGACCTCAAACCCAGAAACCTGAGCTTGAGACCATCAAAGAGTTTTCTCTTTGTATCTTTATTTCGGCCTGCTGGCAAGAGAAAAAAGGGACCCAGCAGTCCTAAGACCAGAGAGGCTGGCATTGTCGCAACTGCTGAAAAGAGGCCGCCGCCATTTTTTCAGAGCAGTAGTGTAGGTGGCTCCTTGGCAGTGTAAATGAGAATTTGGAAGCCTGCCTGCATTGCAGCAGTGTGTGCTGTGCTGTGTGCCCCATGGTGACAATGACCTTCTGCCTCTGACAGGCTGTGCTGCTGATGGACGCCGAGAAGCGGATCCGGTTACTACAGTTTGTCACAGGCACCTCCCGAGTACCCATGAACGGATTTGCCGAACTTTACGGTGAGGGCGGCATGCCCCAGACTCCTCTCTTCCCCCTGCGAGGATCGCGCAGGCAGCATCCCGGTACCTCAGTCCCTTTCCAGACCAGTTGTGCCTGTGTTAGTTCCATAGACACCTGAGGGGATGCAGAACAACCTGCAGGGTTGGAGACAGTGTTTGTACAGAGAGCCCAGCAGGGTCTCTTGTTTTTTTGTTCTTTGGTTTTGTTTTTTTGTTTTTTTTTTTTGTCCCATAGTTCAGGTTTTTTGGTTCAGCTTTTAAAAGCAGATTTTCAGGATAACCCATATGGCTGAAACCTCCCACTTCCAGACAGCAGCTGTGCACATCAAGGCTCTCCTTGCAGTACTCTCCTCTGGAGTAGAGCGCCGCAGCCCCTGCCCTGTACCATCACTGCCGCACTTCCGTACTGCAGGGGAGATGTGCCAAGCCCTGAGCCTGGTGACCTGGGGACTTCCCACAGGACTCCCTGGGGCAGGCCCTACCCTGATAACCCTTCCCCCCCTTTTTGCTCTGACCCACCACCTTGTTCTACTGCTTCAAGCCTGTTGATGTGTCTCTTTTTCTTTTCTTCTTTTTGCTTTTTTTTTTTTTTTTTTTGCCCAGGTTCCAATGGTCCTCAGCTGTTTACAATAGAGCAATGGGGTAGTCCTGAAAAACTGCCCAGAGCTCACACATGGTAAGTAATAAAATCCCCGTGGGGGCTGGGAGATGGCTGAATGGTGAAGAGCATTTGTTGCTTTTTTGCAGAGGGCTTGGGTTTGATTCCAAGTCCCTGCAAGGTGGCTCACAACCATCTGTAACTCCAGATCTGGGGGATCTGACTTCCACAGGCCTTAGGTACACATGTGGCACACATATATGGAGGCAGAGCACTCGTAAACATAAAAACAAATCGAAGGTTGGCATCGTCTCAGGTGCCAGCTGTGTGAGGCTGTGATGGGAACAGAGAACACTTAGGGTTCTGGCCACCAGCAGCTTCCAGTGCAGAAGAACAATAGTGTAAGATGATGATGTAAGATGATACATTTTCCCATAAAGGGTAGCAAAGCTTAAGCCATGCTTTGAATGGGTCCAGTTTGCTTGCAGGTTGGATGAAGGGTTTAAGCCTCTGTTTTCCCAGGACTCCACACAGACTATCTTTCCAGCTCTTATAGAGCTTACATTTCCTTTCTCACCGCCTTCAGTACAACAGTCCCCACTTCTCTCACACTGGGAACTGTTTTTTACTCCCACTTTAAACTGGTTATTTCAAATAAGAGTAAGAGCTGGTGATGGGTCTCTGGATACAGGCTCTTGCCATCAAGCCCACTTGATGACCTTAGTTGGAGGTTGCTGGGACCCGCATGGCAGTGAAAAGAGAGAACTAACTCCTACAAATTGTCTTCCGACTTCCATACGGCATGCACACATGCACACAATAAATAAATGTTAAAAAAATGAAATTAAAGACAAAACCTTCATAGCATCAACTTAAAAGGCCTTCCATTCACACAGTCTGTAAGTGACCCCATGGGCTGTGGCACCATTGGAAGTTCTTCTCTGGCTGGAGAGGGAGGAGGAAGGCCCAGGAATTGGCTTAGGAGAGTCACACAACACCCAGCACAGGACAGACACAGCCCAGTGGATTTTACAGCAGCGTTCAGCAAGATCCCTCTGGTCCAAACTCAGCTGGGAGTCCCCTGTTTCTGCACAGGCTCTTCCTTCCCTACCTTTCTCTGCATAGTGGGGTTCAACCCCCCCACACACACATACACACATACTCACTGACTATGCTGGCCTGACGTGAGCACCCTTTCTTACCCGCAAAGCCTGTAAGAGTCTTTGTGAAAACTGGCAGTGGAGGAGCTGGCCACTGAGTGCCCTTACCTCACCAGGAGGACCATTGGTGACTGCATGGAGCAGCATGGTCACTGCCTGAGCGGCCCTTGCTGACACCGCATGCTAATCTCGGACTGAAATTGGCCATGCAGAGCAGGCACTGTCCCCAGTTCTCAGCCTTTATTCCGCAGGGAAGGATGTCTGCGGGGTTCAGACAGCTTCCTTGCAGGGCTAACAGCCCTTTTAAAAATGCTCTTGAGCTGGCTGAGGGAGAGCGAATATTAAATGAGCACTGAGCGAGCTGCCTTACTTGATTGATGTCTTTTGGGCCCTTGCTCCCAGCCCCTTCTTCATATATCCCGGTTTGACCCTCCCACGCTCCTTGGAACAGTCTCTCCCTTTGACACTTGAGCGGACATATCCAGAGAAGTGAGGTGGCATGCTCAAAGTCCCACAGATGGCAGAGGCAGGGTTAGGTGTGACCCTTAAACAAGCAGGCTTGGCATCCAAAGACCTCACTCTAAGGGTGGGCTGTGTCCTTCCCACCCGGGTCTGCTAGCTGTCAGGATGGCCCCCTTCTCCTCCCCCCCAACCTCACTAGTAGCCAACTGGGCAGCAGAGGTGACTCAGCTTTCTGGAGCCTTGGCAGCCTGGACCCTACTCTAGGGTTTGTAACACTCCTAGGACTGGGATCCATGGCACCCCAGCTTCACCTCCTTGTGTAGGGGTCTGCTTTGGAGAACACATAACCATACCCGCTCACACCTCAGAAGAGCACTTAGCTTACGCAGGATGGAACGGTGGCCGTGTGAGACGCAGTCTGTCCATCCTTTTAAAAAAGTGGGGTTTTTTTATTTAATTATAACTCTGTGAGTATGTGTGTGTGTGATGTGTGTGTGTGTGTTGTGATGTTTAGGACGGGGTGCACATGCCACCAGTGTGGTCGGAGGACAGCTCCAGTCAGCTCTCTCCTTCCACCTTTATGTGTGGCTTCTAACATTGGGCTCAAGTTGCCAGTCTTCCCTGCCAGCGCCAGCACTTGCCGAGCCACCTCACATTCTCAGTCTCTGCGTGTATGTTTGCGCTTGTCTTCTCTTTGTGTCTCCCTCCCAGCGGCAGAGGAGTCATGGACAGTTGCAAGACTCTTTTCGTTTTCCGGTTGATTGACTAGCCCGTTTGGCATAGACACTTTCATAGCTAGAATCTGGCTTTGGGTAATAAAAGTGTGACTGTGTCTTTTCAGTTCCCTTGCTCAAACAGCCACTGCCCATTAGCCAAGAAAGTGCTGCTATGGCAAGGAGCATGCTGGGCGCTCACCTCCACTCTCCATTCCTTCGGCAGCTTTAATCGCCTTGACTTACCTCCATATGAAACCTTCGAGGATTTACGGGAGAAGCTTCTCATGGCCGTGGAGAACGCTCAAGGCTTTGAAGGTGTGGACTAAGGAAGGCCTTCTGCGCCGGGGACACTGCCCTTCCAGCGAGTTCCACGTGCACTTTGCATTTGCCTAGCAGACTTTTGCAGAGCCGGTGGCAGAAGCAGTTGCCTGGCCTGGCTCCGGAGCCCAGCTTGTCCAGGCCCTGCCCGGGTTCCGACAGGGAACCCAGCCCCTTCCACCACCAATTCTCAACTGGTTGACGTGTAAACTGATTACATTTCAGGAGGACTTGTTCTATTTATGTTGTGCCTCTGCAGGCAAAGCCCTTAATAAATATTTTGCATACTTTCTAATGACAATGAATGGAATTAATCACGTTACAGGTATAGTATTACAACTCATGTTTACTTTTTAAAATGATTTAGACTGATTTTCAGATTTTATTTCATTACAATTAAAGATGTCTCATGTTCTTGGAAAAGTGAGCATATTTTTTTTTGTATTTGAATTTCATATCAAGCTTAATGTCAGTGGCATCTTTATTTTTTAAGTACTTTTGACACTCCCACCCTCCACTTTATTAGAATTGGAAGACTAATTTTTCTCCGAGAGCCTTCTACAGACAAACACTTTGAAAGAATTCCAAATATATAACATTAAGCATAATGATTTTTTCCATACTCAGAATGAAAATAAACTGGATATTATGTTTTTTTGTACAAACTTAGATACTAGGTACAGGCTGGAAGAATTGTAACATAGCATGATATCTTTGTGTTAACTTGGAAGGAATGACACCATTGTCCCTTAGGAGTGCTGACATGTGCCGTCACACATTTAAGACAGGGTTGGACCATCATTTCGAATCAGAAGCCTTCAACCCTTCCTGTTGCTGTATAGCCCCTCCTCTTCTATTTTCTCTTCGGTGTTTGTAGAGACATTTCCAATGGCATTGCTTGATTCAAAACTGAGGAAGCCGGAGACAGGGGTCTTCTGACTCTGTCATTGCTAAAACAGTAACTAAATGACCCTTTCTTGCTGTGACTGCATCGGTTCTGAAGGCACTTTATGGAGGTCATACCTGGTTTTGTTTTCCTTTTTCCCTCACGAGCATTACATGTGATGAAGGTTTCTTCCTCCCTGGACACATCTGTCTGGTGCAGTATCTATCCATGGTGAATTTGGCTGCTAGAGTGTACGAACCCAGATGTGACGCTGAGCCTCCACAGCGATCTCCTCCAACTGTTCTGTAATTTCTACTCAACAACAAGGATTTACTTACTGTATAGTTAGCCAAGTTGTGTGACACGTGACCTATTTTGCATGCTCCGATACTGTATACCGCCCCCCAGGTTGTGTCTATTGTGTGCTAGTTTAAAAGTGAGTAGAAGACCGAGTGGGATCCGCTGAGCTCGACCCCCCTTGCCTAGCCAGCAGTGGGGGAGCAGTGAGGGTGTCTGCAGTTTCTAAGTCTTGTTCTGTTGTGTTCTGAGAAGATGCCTGAGGCAGTGTGGGAGTTTCAGCATCCCTGCTGTCCCCTTTAACTTGTGTTGTCCTAGACCCTGCCATGGAAGTCAGGGGACGTGGGATATTGTGATCTCTTGCCAGTTGTAAGACAAAAAGACTGTGGTCTCTGTTACGTAAGAAGGACCTTTGGTATAAGAAATTGCTTGTGTTTACACAGCTGTGGGTGCCATGAAGAAGCCATGGACATTCTTGGTGGGTGAAGCCCCAGGTGGTGGAATCCTACCAAGCTGAGCATCGGCTTCTGTCCATATGCTATCAAGTAATTATAGCAACAATTAACGCTCACTATTCTTGCCTTCTGGTGAAAGTTTTTTCTCCTATAGTTAGCAGATATTGGGCGGGGGGGGGGGGTCTTTTCCTTTTTTATAACCTTCGAAGTCTAGAACCATTTCTCTGTTATGGAGTGTGCCAAAGCCTGAGCTGAACAGTGTGTGTTGATTGAAGAAGAAACAAGAATCTACTCTTAAAGAACTGAGGTTCTATAATTCTGTAGGCCCTATATTGAATCACAGTATTTACTAAATGCAAAGCAGTCAAGTAGTTTAAAAATGCAAAAAGGGCCAGCAAGATGGCTCAGTGAGTCAGGGTACTTGTCTCTAGGCCTGATGACCTGAGTTCAATCCTGGGACCTACCTGATGGAAGGAGAGAACTGACTTCTGCGAGTTACTGTCTTTCCTAACAATGGGTTTTTTTTTTTTTTTAATATGAAAAGAAGACTTCATTCTGATCATTTCTAAGTCAAGATCAGAAAAGATCTTGTAAAAAATACACTCCTGGGAGTACTTGAAAGGCAAGTCATTGTGAATAACACTTCAGTTCATTGGGCCATAACAACCTGAGATTTTAACAGCTGTTACTGTAGTGGAGATTGGAGAGCTGGCCTGTTAGGAAGTAAAAACACAGTCCACTGTTCCTCTGGCTTGTGAAGTTTCAGTTGTTGTCTAAAATGCCTGATGTCTTGTCTCCGGGTTTTGATGGCCTTGCCTGGCCATCTTTGTACAGTTGTTGTAAATGGTGATGGTATTGTAAATGATGCATTCCCTGAACCTCCCCACTGCAGCCACATGCTGTTCCCTTCTGAGCCATGGAGATCCTGCCATCTGGTCTCCCTGCAAACCGTAGTCATTGCAGATTATTTGCCTTGAGGCCGAGGAGTAGGTTCTGGGACTGTTTGTTATGGCAGGACTTTGAGCATCGCTTGGCTGTCTTGTGTTTCTCTCCCTGTCTGCAGTAAGCCCAGGTTAGCCTGCTGACTCCAGAAAAGGTGGTGATCGGTATTGGTCTATCACAGGTGTCTTTAGTGAGCTTTTCTTGTCTGAAACACCGATCTCTACTTTTCCATGGCCAGTCCTCTAACCATAACAAGAACCAGAGATGTGTGCTTTATTTTTGTTTCCAGGGCTCTTGTAGCTTAGTGGTGAGTGTTTGCCTAGCATGTGCTTAGCTGTAGATCTGATCCGTATTGCTGGGGGCTAGGGAGTGGGTGGATATGATTTGATTTTTTTTTTTAAATCTGTTTCTGAGGACCTTGAGCAGGAGACACTAAAGAATCCTGACATTCAGGTTGAGAATGATGTAGAGTGACTTGACACGAATCGTTTCCCCCATCGAAGCTCTTGGAAGTGGGTTGTGAAATACTTTAACCGCTTCTGCCTCTCACGTGGCCCAATGCTCTTGGTCCCGCTAGATTCCAGTTTGTTCTGAGAGTCAGGCTCATGTGCAGCAGCTTCTAATGTGTTCTCTGTTTTCCTGGTGAACTCGTATCTGACCTCTGAAGTTTGAAAGTCTACGAAAAGAGCCTGGGTCCATCAGCTGCCTGGCCCCTCACCACCGGACTAGCTCTCTTTCTGTCTGCTCCTCTCTTAGCTCAGTAACAGAAGGAAGATGCTCTCTGTTGTCATTCGTGTCCTGGCCAGTAGGGGTGCTGCTGTGCAGGGTCACTGCCAGCCCTGCGCGCGCTCTCTCTCTCTCTGGCTCCCAGAAGACCACATGCTACCTCTGTCTCATTCATGCATTGGGTTATATCCTAAGTCATGTCAAAACTGCCAATTTGAGGACTGGGATGTGTTTAAAAAAAACAAAAACAAAAAAAACAAAAAACTTACAAACTCCACTTTGTACCTTAGATTTTAAAACTGGTTGGAAATGTGATCTCCGTTGGACCACTGTTTTCATTTCTATAAGCCTTAATGAACGGTGTATATACATCTGTGTGCACACCCCACCCAAAAGTGTTTTCAGTGTGTCAGAGAAAAAGCTGTCGTGTTAGGGCATGAGCCTGTCTAGTGCTTTCTAGGAAAGGGGTAGCTTTCTGTTGGTATGAAAATTTTCCAAGAAGACTTCTCACTCAGCACCTATCCCTTCTTTGAAACGTTGATGCTCCAAGCACGTGTCAGAAGCTCTTGTCTCTTTACCGGTTTCCTATGTGTAAGGAGTGACGGCAGGGCTCTAAGAGCATCTGTTGGTGCCTGACCTCCAACGCCCTGCGTTCCCTCTGCCGTGTCTTGCTGTGCTGAAAGCCTTTCCTGTGACCATAGCCTGTGTTGACAGACGTCTGCTCCTCTGCAAGCCAGTCTGCTCCTTACCCTCAGACTGATTTTACCTATGCTGTCACGATTTCCTTCGTGTTAACCATGACTCTGTTCTTCCTGTTGCTACCCCGGATGTAACATATATACATATATGAATGTATGCTGTCCAAATATATTTGTATAGCATTTTTACACCTTAGGAGTAATCTGGATTCAAAAGGGAATGAGAGCGTACTCCCTTCTCTAAGTCATGTCCTGAGAATTCTGAGCCTCGGCGCCTGAGAGAACCCTAGAAAAGTATTAACTTGCTGTCTTAATTCAGGATCTGTTATCACATGAAACGTTTTTAAAAAGTGACTTTGAAGGAGAAAAGACTTTCAAGCATTCCAAATGAATTCTCAATGTTTCTTAACTTTTTATTATAACCCCACCTCCTTAACACAAAGCTGAGTGCTATTTGATACAATGGTCAAAACCAAACTACCTTGACATTTTTCTAAGACAGCTTAATGGCTGATGCTCATTTTCACAGTCCAGAGAGCTTTAACCTAGCTTGAATCTGGTACACATGCCAAGTTTTAAGGTCAAGTCCTTTCCTTTCTTCTTGAGAGACCTAAAGAGATACTGTAGCTTGTTTTCCTGACAGCAAATGAAAAATGTGACAAAGTAAAGTTGTTGTAAAGCGGTGATGCAGCTTGTCAAATATTTAATAAAGAATTATGGAAGCTGGAACTTTTGCTACATAAGTATTATGGGTTGTCTGATTCAAAGCTTCTTCAGGAGTGTATCATTTTAATCCCGTCAAGTTTAAATGACTGTAGATTTAAGGTGTGGTCTTTAATCCCCATGAAGAGCCCCCAGGATGAAGTTGTCCCTGATCACATGAGGGTAAGCATAATAAGAGGCTCATTTGCCCCCACCATATGCTGGGTTTTGTCTTTTTTTATTCACCCTAAGGATTGCCCACTTTATACAACACTCACAACCCTATTACTCCATCCCGTAAAGGCGACTGACTTCACCTCTGCTTTTTAATGTGCCCTGGACTTCGGGACAGTGAATGACATCAACAGTCAAGCCACATGGTTCTCAGAAAGATGTTCTGGGAATCCAGACCTGTCTGTTCCTGGATGTAGAGGAAGCCTCACCTTTTTCATTAGTATGGCCCTCAGTCCTCAGGACTGCCAGCCTGTGACACCCGGGCAGGACTCTGGTCGATGTAAACTTGCTTCGAAGTTGTCACCAGCACCCAGAGTTCCTGTCACCCCACCCAGGCTTGTGAGGAGATAGAAGTACAGGCGGGAAGGGCGAGTGTAGCTTCTTAGAGGGAAACAAAGGTGGAGGGGGAGGTATATTGAAGCTACTGTGAGGTTGATAAACCCTTAACCTGCTGTTAGGTCCAAGTGATGTTGGCATTCCCAT